TTTGACAACACTTGAGTTTCCGCATCGCGCCACGGAAGTACTTGAAAGAAACTGTTCCTGTTGTCGCTGTACCGATGATCCTTTTCCTAAAAAGTATCATAACACATTAATAATCAAGTCGATATTATTAAACTTCAATAAGTAAATATGTTTCAAAAAAATTACTGAAATAATGTATAAGTCATACCAATTCTTTGTTTTGTAATTTTTTTCTTTTTAAACCCTACGTACAATTCTTCAATCTTCGACGGCTTTCTCTACATGGAGGACGACCTTGCTACGAGCTGCCTGTGGACTAATGATTACGGTATTCCCCTCTTTAGGAGGACTGTTCCCATCTTGACTAGTCAAACCGGTTCAGAAGAGATGTCACTGTTGTACAACCCCTCCCTCACTTTCCTTTTGCTCCAACTGTTTCCTGTCATCATAAACTCCGTCATCATATTATATCTTCCTCATTGTTTGATGCCAGATCCACTACTGTCAGCATTAAATTAGACAACTTATCAAATGTTGTCCTTCAATGTTGGTGCTCCACCTATTATAACTGACCTTAATTTTCGTATGACATCTGTTCAATTCTTCCTCCAACCCGTAAAATGTACTTTTTCGGAACGTGTGAAACCCTTTTATGAATCAACACCTTAATGGCATGTCTGCATAAAATCCCCTTGAACTCAAACAATGACAAGGCAACGAATATCCACGAACTTTCATCAAAGTATACTACATGAGGAACACGGCGACTATTATCTCCAAACCAAACATCTTCCCAAACTTGAAACTCCTCGCATGAATCACATTTTTTCAGAAAAATAACTCACAATAAATCTTCCCGGCAATCTCATCTTGAAGCTCTTAAAACTTTGCAGTTGTGTATGCACTTTGAAATTGTTTCTCAATGGGTAATTAGTTATGCATGGTATCCAAGATTTAAAATCTAAAATCAGCCTCCCTTTCTTTTTCCACTTTACTCGCAATGCATTATCATATTGTTCCACAAATTGTTTCAAAGTGGTTTTGGAATTGACATACCCATCAAAAATGCATGCATACTTTCACTATGTTAGGTAGTAGACATACCTACCCGAAAGTATCTTTAAGATGCGCACCCATCGTACTCTTTCTTGTACAATCCACATAACCATGCATTATCGTGAAGGTTGTGCACATCAACAAATTGGTTCCACCGCTCTTCGAACTCTCATGCGTAAAGGAATCATACACAACATTTTGCAACTTAAACTTGATAGTTTCATATTCCTTATACCCCCTTAACTTTTCAGGCAGTTTCTTCTTATATGCCACAAACACCACCTATGTCTTGTACCAGAGAAAACAATCTCAATTGCATTTTGCATGGCCTTATCTTGATCGTGATTATTCCATTAGGAGCACATCCATGCATTCAAGCCAAGAACGAAATAGCCATACAAATGTCTCAGTGTCCTCATGAAAAATTAACCCACACCTAACAACGTTGAATGTCCTGATGATCAACCCCCACAAAAGCAGCAAATGGCATGTCATACTTGTTCGTCGATATGTTGTGTCGAAGGTGATACACATCACCGAATTCTTTATATGCCCCCCCTACATCTAGCACAACCCATAACACATCTAATCGATCTCTTCATCTACATCAATCATGTACCAGAAATTTGAATTCTCCTTTTGCATTCCTAAAATACTCAGTACTGCGGAAGCTCTCCAACTCCAAGTCGTAACTTTCTCACTTTTTCAAGTGTAGTTCCTACAATCTTTTTCTAGAAACGTCAAATTCTTTACACCTCTTGCCTCAACTGAACATGACTGAAAATTCTTACACGTTCTAATCCCAGCACATCATTAACTCAAGTCGCCTTTTCACATAAGGTTGTATCGTGTCGTTAACCTTGAATATCTTCTTTTGTCGGACTTGTAAGATCATGGTTATGTTCAAGTACACTGATTTATTCTCATTTGCATTCACCATTCAAAGCTGCACTAATTCGACTCTTACAATCTGTTTTGCAACAGGTTATTTTTTCAAGTATTTCTAGACTTACATCTCTCCTTTCCAGAACAAGAACATGCCACTACCACATATCTCATCTCTCCATCTTCGCCTTTCTTTGACGTACGTATCATTGCTTCAAATCCTATTTTGTTACCATACCGTTTGTAATACTTTACCAGACTATCAACTGAATCAAACATCATTCCAATATGAGGCTCTACTTCTTCCTCTGCACATCCCATATCTCTAATTCATCACGTTCATTTTCCTGATTTAATAGTTTAAAATACATAAAATTAGAATGTACTATACACACATCAAAATAAATAAACAATACGATACAATAAATTTACCTCAATATCATTGAAATGAGGCAAACTGGACTCTTCCATATTCTGAGGCAAACTGGACTCTTCCATATTCTGAGGCAAACTGGACTCTCTATATTCTGAGGCAAACTAGACTCTTCCATATTCTGAGGCAAACTGGACTCTTCCTATTCTTTAATCTGATTCATAACATCGCACACAATTTTTCTGTATCAGTGTTTTTCTATTGTAACATATATCAATCCAAAATATAATACAAACTAAATAATACTAAGTTATATCAAATGTTCACGGTAAAAACTACATAAATAAATTATATAAAAATCGTTATTAACCTGCACAAATCTCTCTAATCTCCCTTTGAACAAATCTCTGTAATCTCCCTTTCCTGTATCTCTCTTTCGACTGTAAAAAATTAGCTAAATGAAGTTTGATGCAATGAAGTTTGATGAAATGGACACATGATAGCTTTCGTTATTCACACGGTACCTGGAAAATGAGGAGAAAACGTTTGTTGGGGAAGAAATGGCTGAGGAATGCAGACGCTGAGACGAGGAACAGACGGCAACGATGAAGCAGGGACGACGAATTTTGGCACTGGTTTTCTTTCGTTTTAGCTCTTGTAATGGGAGAAGCGTATTGGAGAAGCTAATATAAACAAAAAAAAAAACAATTTATTACTAAAACGCGAAATTTTTTTTTTTAATAACATTATGGACAGCCGTCCATTAAGTATGGACGCCCGTCCACAATTAATGGACGGCCGTCCACAAGTTAGGGACGGCCGTCCAGTGTTAAAAATTAATTAAATTAATTTTTTTTTTACGATTTACTTTTGGACGGGCGTCCATAAATAAAAAGACAGCCGTCCATAATTTATGGACGGTCATCTATAATGGAAATTTTATTTTTTTTCATATTTGGGTAAAGGACGGGTGTCCATTACTTGTGAACGTCCGTCCAAAATTAATGGACGGCCGTCCATAATGGATGGACGGCCGTCCATAATGGATGGACGGCCGTCCCTAAGCTTTTACAAATTTTTTTATTTTATTTTAATAAGGACGGGCGTCCATATTATATGGACGGTCGTCCCTCGCATATGGACGCCCGTCCATATTTGTGGACGGGCGACCGTCCCTAAACTTTTACAAACTTTTTTATTTTATTTTAATAGGGACGGGCGTCCATATTATATAGACGGTCGTCCTTCGCATATAGACGTCCGTCTATATTTGATGGACGGGCGTCAATGTGAGTGAACAGCCGTCCAAATTTGATGGACGACCGTTCACTAGAAAAAAATTATAAAGAAATGGGAAAACGCGTTCCACATCGGTCGGTACAAAAATTCGGTGTAAAAATTTCGGTGTCTATAGTGTTATTGTTTAATTAAATAGCAATATAACAACAATTATTATAAAATTTGAGGGAAAAAAGACCTTGAAAGTAATAATACAGTAAATTAAATTCCCAATCNTTGATCTCGGGTGTCAAAACTGTACAGGCATGAGATATGTAAATAGCTGTGTTCAATGTCAATGCGTTTGCCGGGATCCTATGAACTTCTGGTTACATTGTCTGATCTTTAGTTGAATTTAAGTCCATTTGACAACTTGACAGGTATACAAAAGATAACTGTATTCCATATTCAGAAGAACATGAATGTTCAATTTCAATTTTCAAGCAAGTAGTTGGTTGTTGATGCCATGACCAAGAGTTTCAAGGTCTAATTTCTGTGTACTCTTTTAGTCCTTGATGAAAAGTCCTTGTATTCCTCAAAGTCACATTCTTGATGGTAACCTCTAGTATATAAGAGGCAACAAAACGGAGTACTAGATTAGGCAGACTCTAATGTGGGTGTAGATAGCTTGGATACTTAAAAAAGAAATTGATTACTATGCTTTTATACGTTCTAATTATCAAAGATTGCCAATTTTGTCCTGAAATTTCCCTGGGAAACTTTTGAAGAGAGATCCAAGGATCTTTTAGTAAAGAGCTACTGTTGTACTTCGATTAAGTGCCAGTAAGAATTCCATCTCCAGTTAATGGTCAAGTATGGTGAAACTAATGTCCATTAGTTGACCGTAAAACTGTCGGATTGTGGAATTGACATCCGTTGATTGACTTTGAAACTGACTCTGTAATTGACGGTTGGAATAACATCAGTCAGTTGATGGTTGAACTAACATCCACTGTTACGGCTGTTTGGTGGTCTCAGAAACTTCAGTATGTTGAAGAAAACGTTTACGGTTGCAAGGTAACGTCCATTAGTAAACAGAAACGGTAACTCCCATTGTTGATCGACAGGTAACTTGTCGGAACATCACTGCATATGATATAACGGTAATGTTACCAGAGACGTATACGGTGGGTACGTAACTTTACATGTGCTAATGATGATGCCGAAAATGTAATGAAGTGAAGGAAAGACAGAAAACATTAACACGTAGGAGAATCAGGAAGAGAGATTCATTTCATTTGTAAAACCAATTATGTTCATAAATTGAATAAAATTGGCTTTAAAGTTTTAACATTATATTATTGTTTGATCTTTGACAAAACGGTGAAGTGGTTATGCAGTGAAGACAATAGTTCTGATATTTAATTAAATAGCAATATGACGACAATTATTATAAAATTTGAGGGAAAAAAGACCTTGAAAGTAATAATACAGTAAATTAAATTCCCAATCATTTATCATTACTCATCTAGATAGTGAGAACGAAAAAGCAGTAATTTACACAGTTGTTGAATGCCTCAACATTTCGACTTGGCTCACCAAGTACCAAAGAAAGCCATTAATTAACATCAAGCAAAAAAGGGTTCAAACAAACAATAAGTAAAAGCCAGCACACCAGGCCACACACAGCAGAAGGGGGAGATACTTCTGTTTGTTATTTTTCAGCATTACAAGTATTTGATCAAGAGTTATATGACGAAAACCAGAATAACGATCCCGACTACTGCTAAAAGCATGCCAATACAAGAGCAACCACCCTTCGTCTTCTTATTCAAAATTGCAAGGTTCTTCTGCACTCGCTGTTTCAGAACAAACAAAAACGGTGTGACTAAATTCCAGTAGAATAGGGTATCTATCAGAGAAAAAGTAGAGCTAAAAGAATATTACCCGTAAGCGAGAGTCTGTAACATCCACATGTTGGTCCAAGTCATCCTGCACAGAGGGATAGCAAGGAAATATAAGACTTATGAAGTAGCACAACTCATTCAAATTAGTATAATATCAGAAGATAAGATTAAATCATACAATAAGTCTAGCGTGTAGGTCAAGTTCTTCGTTGACTGCCAATGCAATATGTTTTGTACTAATTACAGTCTCCTCCAGTTTCTCAAGCCCCTCGTCTTGCTCTGCATCATAAAAAGTCTCACATAAAAAGTGCACAAGAAAGAACCTACACAATATAACAAGTCAAGAGTCGTAATTGGAAATTGGGAGTAGCTTGCCTTTCATGACTTGACGTTGAAGACCAACTAGGCCATGGTTGTCCAAGCCAGTTGTTCTGCTCATGGGATCAGCTTGCTTAATTTCTGGCCCAAGCAAGCTGTCCCTATTGGCGAAGTTTGACATGTTCAGTGTGGAAGCCATCTGGGTCACTTTTGATCTCAAATTAGTAAGCATGTCCTTGCGACGATTCATCTCTTTCTCCGATCTGTGTATTCACAACCAATAGCATCAGGAAGATTCAGAAAACTACAACCACCTAACTCACTTCTACATCATAAAGAATTGTAACACAGCCATCCAGTTCAATCAACAGAAAATTAATGCGGTGAATGTGGGAAAGCCAATTTAAAAATTTGTCAAGAAACAATCTAGGGTTCTACAAAATGTAGATACCATGCAACAAAACTGAAGGGGAACTACTAAAAGCTGCCTGCATAACCCATGCTTTGCCGTCCCCTCTCCCCTTTTTCCCCTTTTCTCCATTTACCATTAAATTGAAACCACAATTTGTCGCAAACATGTAGATAAAGGACAGGAACCAGTCAGCTTTCAAAACCTATGTTTTCAGATAGAGATGAACTTTCTTTCTTTCCAGACAAAATTGTAGATAGAGAAAGATGAATTGAACTTCACCCACAATAGGGGGTTTTCTTAAGCATATAAGCAGTAAGCAGATGAGGCTCCTGCAAATATATGTACAATATAAATACTTGTTACTTCTTCACCAACATCTCATCAGAGAACTCCAGCACAATACTTTGCAATACAAAGACATGTTACTTCCCATAAACATGTGCATAGACAAACAAAAATGCAAATCGTTTTGAAAAATCACAGGCAAAAGAACCAAACATTAACAAACTAAATCAAATTTCTCCATCGATTTTGCATAAAGATGCAACTGAATTATTAAACTTACATGGGCTGCTTCCCAGGAAGCTTTGACAAAAGAGACTGTAAGCTATCAAGCCTCGTCCCCAATATTGTAATCTTCCTCCGTATACCAGACACATGACGCTGAGCTTCAGGCCCTGATGCTGGTAAAGAACTCCGTTCTGACATCATGCCATTGATATCATCAGCAAGTTTTATCGCTTCATTATATTCCTTCACCCATGAGTCCGACGAAGATGCCATTGAACTAGAACAATAAATTAGATTAATCACCAACTGACCTTAAATAATGACTTGCACACAACAAGTAATAACAAAATTACAATCGATTAAACTTGGGAATCCATTCAATGATGAACAGGGTGAAGTTAAAACCCATAAAAACACCAAAAAATTGAAGCTTCCACTATACTTCTAAATTCTAAGATCAAATTTTGTAACATTACTATAATAAAAAACTTACCCAATTCTCAGCTTTACTTTTTCTCGCAAAAAATCATAATCAAATCAACAAACTTGCTCAGCACCACAAATTTCCCCTTTAATAAAAACAAAATCACATTGATCTAAAAAATTCCCATAATTCAACCTATATTGACCCCAAAACAAACAAAGCGAAATTCTATACAATCGAAAATCAGATTTTGATCAATCAAAACCTCAAAAAATCAATTAATTTCACAATTCCCAAGTGATAATCAGAACAACGATCACAACCCAAAACCCTAAAGCAAACAAATCATCATCCAGTTATGACACGTGATTGAAATCACACACCTCTGTTAAGTTAATGACGAATTGATTGCCTGATCCTCGTCCGAATTCTGGTTTCTGATTTATGAGAGAGGGGGATTGACTCGGGAGATATATTTAGGCAAGAGTGAAAACCGATGCCTTATTAATGAGCTAAGCGACAGGGCCAATGCTTCAAGAAGGCAGTCTTTGTCCGGCTCCGTCGTCGTTTACGTGACGCGAATTTTATAATTAAAAGATAAAAACTCCAATAATTTCTTAAATAATTTTACATGGGCATGAAGTATAATCACATAATATTTAACAACTCACGTCTTCCAAATTGTATTATAATAATTAAAAGGTATGTATAAATAATGAATAATACTACACATACATCATCCTCATACAACATTTCTCATACAACATTATGTGGCAAGATGTGATTGGATGAAAGTTTAATTTTAACTTTAAATTAGCCAATCATATTTTGTCACATAATGTTGTATGAAAATGATGTATATGTAATATTATTCATAAATAATACTGACAAATTAGAGGGATATAAATTTTTATATCTGTTGAGTTGTTATCCCACTTACAACCTTAAGTTAGTAATTGATAATTCAAACATTATAATAATTCAATAGATTTTTCCATGAAACTTAGCTTAATTTTTTTTCATTTTTTTATTTAGTTGAATGTGGATATATTTTTTATACAACTGAAGTGTTCGTATCAATTTACGCACACTTCGATTAATCTTTAAAGAGCTATATATATATATATATTGAGCTGGTTTTTGAATGTAAGTTTTACAAAATTCGTTTATCACGGTAGGTTCTAACTTTTGAGATTATTATATAGAGTTAACAACTGTTTCTCACCCAAATAATGGTTTAATGACACATTTCCACTCATAGACTTTTAAAATATCATTTTATTATCCAAATTTATATTTCAATAATGAATAGAGAGCAAACGCAGTTTAGGCTGTTACAGTTTTTTAAGAAGGAGGGCCGATGAGTCTTTTGGTGATAGAATGTTAGATAATAGTGGTTGGAATTGATTGGAATTTGACTTAAGAGGGTGGTTGCGTAAACCCTAATCACTCGATTACCGACGATTAATGAGGTCGGTAGGAGTAGGGTTTGAGGGGTTTTGGTGAGTGATGATATGAGAAGAAAATGATGGTGGTGTGGAGTTGTAATAATGACTGAATTGTTAAACGAAATATACATTTGAGTAATAAAGTGATATCTTAGAAGTTTGTAGGTGGAAAAATGTCATTAAACCATTATTTAAGAGGGAAAGATAGTTTACTCTTTTATGTATAGTGGCAAGTTCTAAAAATTTAAATGGTGTGGTGGACTTTTGCCACCAATTTGAGATTTACTTTCTCTAGAGTTTGCCTTTCTGTAGTGGGAAGTCCTAAATTGCATGTGCCTTTTTATGGGGTCGTAAGTGTTAAACTTATCAAGATTAGAGCTTGTCTTTAATAGTGATAAAATTATAGGGTGTCTCATACGTAGTGATATATTATAAACTCAAATAATGTGTGGTTCGTTTATGCAAATATTAATTATTAATTAGGGAGAACGACTTACACATACCCAAGGTTTGTCGTAACGATAAGTTGGTACCCAAAAGGTTTTGAAATGACAAATAAGTACTTTCCGTCATGTTTTGTTAGTGATTTCTGTTTATTACTGTTTATTAATAGTAAAAAGACTAAAATGCCCTTAAAAGTTTGAATTTTAGTTTTTTATAAATTTAAAAATTTCTAAAAAACCCCCTAAGTTTACAAATTTAACCAAATACCCCAATATTTAAAAATTTTGTAAAATAACAAAAACACCCCCATCACCTGCAATGCCAGATTCCGGCCACCACCGCCGGAATCTGGCCGAAAAATTGCGTTACGACACAGACCCGTCGGATCAGTGTCGTAACGCGTCGATCTAGCATTTTCTGGCCAGATCCGTGACTGATCTGGCCGGAAAAGGCCAGATCTACGGCTAGATCTGGCTGTCGACGCCGCAAAACTCCATCTGCGGCGTCGACGGCAAGATCTGGCCTTTTCTGGCCAGATTAGCCACGGATCTGGCCGGAAAAGGCCAGATCTGGCTGCTGCTTCGACGGCCAGATCTTGCCTTTTCCGGCCAGATCCGTGGCGGATCTGACCGGAAAAGGCAAGATCGGCACGTTACGACACAGATCCGACGGATCTGTGTCGTAATGCAGTTTTCCGGCTAGATTCCGGCGATGGTGGCGGGAATCTAGCATTGGGGTGGTGGGGGTGTTTTTGTCATTTAACAAACTTTTTATATATGGGGGTGTTATTAAATTAGCAAACCTAGGGGGTTTTTTAGAAATTTTTAAATTTATAAAAAACTAAAATTGAAACTTTGAAGAGCATTTTAGTCTTTTTACTATTAATAAACAAAAATCACTAACAGAACATGACGGAAGGTACCTATTTGTCATTTTAAAATTTTTTGGATACCAACTTGTCATTACAGTAAACCTTGGGTATGCACAAGTCGTTCGGCCTATTAATTATACTTAAGTGATGATGCAAAAGGCCAAATGATCTCACTCATTATTTTAAATAAAATAAAAAAATATATATTTTATTTGTTTTAGATACTTGTTATGAGGAGATTGATTATTGTCACTAGCATTAGTACTGACTTCTCTTAACAAGACAGAAAAGAAAGATCCTTTAAAAAGGGTAAAATTATCATATCGATATTTTGATTATTATTTATATTTATATTTAATTTAATTTAAAATAATAATTTTGAAGAAAAAAATCGATGAATTTATTATTAATTAAAAATTATTATGAAGAAAAATATTAATACTTGTAATCATAAAATTAATTACTGTTGTGAGTGCCAGCAAACCCTGAACTAGTCTAAAAAAGAAAAAATATATTTCGCTTTATAAAAAGAAAAAGTGTTTATTTTAGATAAACTTGGGGAATTATTTAAAGTATAGCCAAAATTTTTGAAAATCATTAAAAAAAAAAAAATCTCCCTATAATTATTAATTAATCTCTTTAAATCATTTAATATCCTCTTGTATCGAGTTTTTTTTTTAATAATTATAAAGAGGTTATTAACAATTTTCAAAAACTTTTTTTTTTTAATGATTGGGTGTCTAGACCGGTTTACGCGCACCTCAAATAATCTTTTAGGACCTTAAAATTATCAGTCGGGTTAGAGCTCCAGTATAGTGGCTATCCCTATTAACAACCAAGGAGGGACTTGAATTCAGGATTTCTTGGGTCTATACCTTCGAATTATCAGTCGGGTTAGAGCTCCAGTATAGTGGTTACCCCTATTAGCAACCAAGGAGGGACTTGAATTCAAGATTTCTTGAGTAATACACCCAAGACTCCCTATTGAATCATTCAACCATTTGAGCTCCAATGCACACAAATTTTCAAAAAATTTGTGTGCATGTAAGATGAAATGATCCGCAAGGGGTGTATAAAATAAACCCAAAAATAAAAAAGATGAAAAAATTTGGGAGCTTATAAGGAAGATAAAAACATGAAACGCCAATAGGAAATAAGTAAAAAGTGTGGGGGTGAACTGGAAATAAAATCGATGAAACTAGAGGGACAAACTGAACAAAACCCAAACCCAAAGCAGCCGGTATAATAATCTACACACAAACGCGATACCCACTACCCAGTAGTGGTAAAGAGAGGTTGTAGATGCAGAGATTCACACTTCATAGAGAGGGAGAAAGCGCTAAAAAATCGGCCGAGTATTTTTTGAGCTAAAGAAGCAGAAGCAGAAGCCAGAGATGTCGGATTTAGATAGGCAAATAGAGCAGCTAAAGAAATGCGAGCCCTTGAAAGAGTCGGAGGTCAAGGCTCTTTGTCTCAAAGCCATGGAGATTCTCGTTGAAGAGAGCAACGTTCAACGTGTTGATGCCCCTGTCACTGTAATTACTTTATTTATTTATTTATTTTATTCTTTTTATTATTCGGTTTTTGGTTGGTTGTGATTTAACGGGGATAAAGTAGGGATTGCTAGTTGCATATTAACAAAAATGCTTTATACACGGTACTGTTACCGTGACGGTAGTGTAGTTGTAGTACTTTGATTTGGTCATGAATCAATTTTTGCCTTGTGGGTTGGTTTTATTTATTTATTTATGCAAATATGTGTTCTGGACTCTTCACTCTGTAAAAGAGGTAAAAGAGAATATAGTAGAAATAAGATTTTCATGTGTTGCCGTGTGTTTATTTATGAAAGAAGATTGGTGTAAATTTGGATTTTGAGGTTATTGAAAGTCACTCGTTGTTAGTAGGAATGTAGTGGGATGATTTGATTTGGTTTTATTGGCATGAATTAAGTCAGAGATGGGTTTAAAATGTATTTGGTTCCTCAGTTTCAAGTATATGGTGAAGAATGGTAAATTTAAAAGCTAGGGAAGTGAGGAAACCAGCTCTTGTGGTAATTTTACATTGCTGTGATTTAGTTTCCATCTTTGGGGTTGCTGTACGATCTCATGTTTATGAACATAGAGCTAGGGAACTGGGTCTAGTGTGAGTTTGAGACATTCTGGCTGAGTTGTGGATTTACGACGTATATAGTTCATGAAAAACATGAAGTGTACTTGGCAGTTTTAGATAGGAATTTGATTGGTGTATAGTGGGTGTTATGGTTGGCCATTTACATATTTGGTTGGATTTATTGCCAATTGTTAAGGTGGTTGATATCAACTCAAACCCCTGTCAAGCTGATGATATGGGCCGTATGACAATTTAAGCAATGGCTTAAAAGCTATGGATTTAGTTTGAGACATAAAAATTTGGTTCAATTCTTGGCTACTTAGAAACTTTTGCCGAATCACAATTCTCATAGTTCTAGATTTTGGGGTTAATACTTAATACCTTGTTTAATGGGCCATTTTTAGGGTTCTGTGGAAAAGAATAAATGTTCCTGTCATTTCTACTTCAAAATATATTCTGTCAGATTGAGGTGCCAATATAACTGTATGCTAGAAAGTTTGCTATTTTGGAAAATGATTGGTGACGTTTCTAAAATCCTGTAGACTTGGTAAATATGGCTCCTGGGAAGGCCATTACTTACTTTCTAAATACTTGAAATTGACAGTATGGGATTTTTTATTTTTTATTTTTTTGAGTTTTGAATATTTGTTTAAATACTGATTCTCTAAAATTTTTAGTGTTATCTTAATTGTAATTCTGGTTGACCGAAATTAGTTGGCTGTTTTTTACACAGATATGTGGTGACATTCATGGACAGTTCTATGACATGAAAGAGCTTTTCAAAGTTGGAGGTGACTGCCCAAAGACCAATTATTTGTTTCTTGGAGATTTTGTTGACAGAGGGTTTTACTCTGTCGAGACATTTCTGCTTCTACTTGCCCTAAAGGTAGTGATAGTACATAATTATGTGTTGAAATTTTTTGACTTTTTTCTCCTATGAACTGGACCTGGTTCACTTTTGAGGTGTATGGATTTGCAATTTAATCTTATCTAATCTTCTAGAAGGGTCTTAATGTTGAATATCTTTCCAATAACTTAGGAATTTACATTTCCTTTTTTAAGTTTTCATGCAAATGGCAGGTCTTTGCTTTTAAGTCATGGCTTTGGAAAGGTTATTTTGTTTCTTTTAATTGCTGTTTATGCCGAGACTTCTGTGGGAGTACCAAATTACATTCATTTAAATGAATTTTACATTATAAGTTGAGGTTCTGTGGTAATGGTGGCAAACATTTAGAGCTGTTTCTAAAGGCTCTCTCTTATTTGGTGTTCTGGTTTTGCAAAGATGTATGCAAAATACTAGAATATTAGGGTTCATGTTGTTTGCAAAATTAGTTCATGGGCTTTAATCAATTTTAGTCCCAAGAAAATTATTTCCAAATTGTAAGGATTCACCTATGTTATTATAAATTATGAATTTTAATGAAACCCCCAAAATCAAAATTTTTAAGTACCCAGTGTATATCCTCTAACAATCTGTGCCAACCTAATCAAGTATTGTCCTTTTTGAGATGCTAAAGTGCTATATAGCTATCATTATCAACCTCTTCTATATCAAAATTTATAATTCATTACCCTTTCAGGGTTGTTCAGCATTACTCCATTTTAATTGGAAAATTGAAAGCATCAATTAATTATGGTGCATTCAGTGCTCTGATTATTTATTTTTGTTATTTTAGTTTCTTAAAAATTTCAGCTAATGATGTGGTTCCTATCAGGTGAGATATCCAGATCGGATAACACTCATTAGAGGGAACCATGAAAGTCGTCAGATCACACAGGTTAAGCCTCTTATTTGATATTTTCATTTCGCTGCTTATGAGTATTGATTGGTTTTTCTTTTTCTAAAACAGGTATATGGGTTCTATGATGAGTGCCTACGTAAATATGGTTCTGTGAATGTCTGGAGATATTGCACTGATATTTTTGACTACTTAAGGTTTGTGAATTTCTATTGGAGAAAACCCGGAAAGAAACACTTATTTGTTGGAATTTGGGATGTAAGAGAGTTTTAATAAATATGGTTGGAGATTTGGTTGCACAGGTGGGGGTTGCTTTTAAATTGTCTATGGTTAAATAATTTGATATTTCTCACAATTGGATGGTTGTAATTTCGTAGACCAATTTAATGATTTTTGGGTATCCTGGAAAACTTTACCATTATGTTATTGCGATGTTGATTACCTGGTGTCCTCTTCTGTATGTGGAGCTTGTGTTTATGCCCATTCTTATTTTAAATTCAAGGTGTTGACCAAGAACCCGGAGGACTAAGTTTTGCATTAAAAGCTTTTTTCTTTATTTCTGAATACCATCTTTCTATGTTAATAGTGCCCTAAATTCTACTATTGAAGTAATTATACAATGACTAAGTTATTATTTTGCCTCTTCACTAAATTTTCATAATGATAATGCTCAAGTGGCCATTTTGAGTCATTTTTCCTTTATAGTGTCACCAATATCAATCTTATTTTTTGCTTTCTGTTTTTATTTATTTTTGGCTTCTGAATTTTGATTATTTTTTTGCAGTCTGTCAGCTCTCATAGAGAATAAAATTTTTAGTGTTCATGGTGGTCTCTCTCCTGCCATATCAACGCTGGATCAGGTAAAAGAAGCCATCTACCAGCTATTAGAAATCTCTCTGGAGCTTTATTTTGCTGCTGACATGATCTGTTTTACAGATTCGAATGATTGATCGAAAACAAGAAGTACCTCATGATGGTGCAATGTGTGATCTCCTGTGGTCAGATCCTGAAGATATTGTGGATACTTGGGGTTTGAGTCCTCGTGGTGCTGGTTTCCTATTTGGTGGCAGTGTTGTTACTTCTTTCAACCATTCAAACAACATTGACTATATATGTCGGGCTCATCAGTTGGTAATGGAGGGATATAAATGGATGTTCAACAACCAGATAGTGACAGTCTGGTCTGCTCCAAATTACTGTTATAGGTAAAGAATTGGCATTTTGAAAAAATTCATTCCTTTTCCTCAGGAGTAAAAATGATATCATTGGATGTGTCACAGATGTGGCAACGTAGCTGCAATTCTTGAGCTGGATGAAAATCTCAACAAGCAGTTTCGTGTATTTGATGCTGCACCACAGGTTTGTGTATTTATCCTCTTTCAATTGACTGCCAGAGACAATTATCTCTTTTAGCCAATATTTTGCTTATATTCTCCTCCGATGAGGTGCTATACATTCATTGAGTGAAAAATGTGCTGGTTATTACCAATTAACTCTTCATGAAAACACTAGTTGTGAAATACCAGTTGCTATTTTGGTTTTAATTGGACAACATTGGTCCATCCTTGTCTGGTCCACATTAATTGATCACTATTTGCCCAAACCTGTGAAGCTTTTACTCATAGGAAGCTATGACATATGGCAGTTTGCATGGCTGACTTGAGAAGTGTTGTTATATTCCACAATACATTTCTCTTTTCCCAAGCACTTTTTTCTTTCCTATTCTTTATTCTTTTGGCCTTGCTAGGGTGGTACTGCTTAAATTGATTACACTGTAAGCTGGATTTAAATCTTCAAACGAAATGCAGGAATCTAGAGGGGCTCCTGCCAAAAAGCCTGCACCAGATTACTTTCTATGAAGGTTGAAGTTTCTTTTTAAATCTGTTGTAACACAATATCCCTTTGCTGGAGAACAAGATTTGCTGCCACATGGTAAGGATCTCGTCATACAAAAAGAATCGGTGGTAAGCTATCAATGCATCAGCTCTCGAAATGACCAGCAAGAATTGTACTTTCCTATTTTTGATCGGTTTGGATTGTCGAGTTTGCCTGTGTTACCATTCGTTGATGTTTGCATGTAGTAGTAGTGTGTAGTATGTAAGTTAATCACAAAATACAGAACACTATACATGTTCTCCAGAACAGAATGAGAGAGCAAGCGAGGGATTTTACCGGAGGAAGCTTTGCTTTCAACTATATGGGAAGTATGAATACGATTGGATTTGGGTTTGGGAAACTGGAGATGGAAATTATTAAACCATGATTCTTACAAAAGTTTTGGCTTCTCTTTTTCACATTCTTTGTTGCATCTGAAACTCTTTGCATGTCAGCACTTCTGTATCACAATATTCTCTCTGGCGTCTTTCTTTTTCAATGGCTTGAACTGAAATATGAGCAGCTGCCCAATTTACAAGAACCCAGCAAACTTCCACTTAAAAATAAGGTTGTTTATATCATGAAGCTTGGCCATTTCTTGAAACAATTGCAGCCCAATGACACCAATAACAACTGAAATGTTGAAACTTCAAAAGATCTAATTTGCTTACTTAGTAAATTCGCAAATTATATGCTTAGCCGTATAATTTTGTATCATTTGCGAATTTTCGTATTTTATCAGCATATCTATATTTTTTGTAAACTATGTCTCAGACGTTTTATTCGTGAATTATTTGTATTATTGCGTATTTTATTAGTACTATTGGCAAATTATTTATATGATTGTCATATTTTATCGGTATATCCGTATTATTCGTGAATTGAATACTTTGCATTTGAAATTTATATTGATTTTAACTAGGTGGTCCATGAAAAGTGCTAAAACTAGAATCGATATTGTCGTATTTTTCAAAACGTATTATTGACAATTTGTCGTATTAAACCTGTATATACCTAGGACTGTAAACGAGTCCAGTCGAGTTGAGTTTTCGACTTATCGAGCTTGGCTCGTTTACTATAGGGTCGAGCTCAAGTTCGAGCTTGAGCCTTGGAATTGCGACTCAAACTCGAGCTCGATCAAACCAGTAAAGCAAAAACATTATTATAAATGTGATAATCATCCTCTTGAATGTAGCGTGAAATCAATGAACAAACAACTCAAAAGCAAACATAAATTCAAAAGCAGTACAACTCATAAGCATAACAATAAGCATGCGAAATCACTGTGCAAAAATAAATGAACTAGTTAGTCCTTTGGAATACAACGTGAAAGGGATGAAAGAAGAGATGTAAAACTCACCTGTTGCAAAAACACTAGATGAAGCCTGTCAGTTTCATGGTGGTGCGATTTTGCGATTTGGGGGTTTACGCTTCAGTTGATTTGGGGGATAAGAGTTAGCAAACCTAGTTTCAAGGTTTGAGGGATGAAATTGCGGTTTGTGTGACTGTTTTTACGATTGGCGAGATCGGCGACGGCGATGGAGACGATTGATTTCACGGCGAGGCCACTGGTTCCAAGTTTAGGGTTCTTCTTTGGGTTTGCGATTTGGGAATTGGGGGAAATGAAATTGATTTGGGGTAAAATTTGGTGTTTTACGATTTTGCACTTTGGGGGGGTAAGTGTCAGTTTTTAAAATTTTTTCACTGCTATATAACAGTTAAGTACCTCATGGTTTATAAAACCCACCAAAGCACCCTGCATACGCCAACCAGCCTAGGCTCATGAGCCCACGAGCCGAGCTCCCCCATGTTTGAACTTGACTTGGTTAATAAACTGAGTTCGAGCCGAGTTGACTCGATAATTGTCGAGTCGAGCTCCAGACGAGCTTCAAACGAGTCAAGTCGAGCCGGCTCGTGAGCCGCTCGACTAGTCTGATAGTCCTATATATACCTGTATCATATTTTTTTCGTATTCAAATTTTTACAAATATATTTTACATTGTTTGTCATATCATACCGACAAAATTCTCATACCCTTGTTTTGGCATAACTATATTTACTAAGAGTGATGCTATGGGTACTAACGGATGGGTACTAATCTGTGTACTAACTAAAGCATAGTACCCGTACTATACGTATAGTATCCGTACTATGCTTTAATTAGTACACAGATTAGTACCCATTCATTAGTACTCAAAGTATTATTCATTTACTAACTGGGCTAATTTGTGGGTCCATTTGTAGGCGAAAGTCCATCTTGTGGGGGTGCGAAATGCGAATCTTGCTTTAGACGCTTGTCTTTAAGAGATCAAGAACCACACGCATCCACAAGATGACACTATAAATAGTAACTGATAATGTTCTTCCAACTATAAACTCAAATAATGAAGAAACCTCCAAATAACATTAACCAACCAAATTTTTGTTCATAAACCGATTATAATAACAAGCTGTTGCTTTCAAAGTTTTATGATCAGGATTAGATCGGGAAGAAAGAGTTTTCACTTAAGAATTCTCCTCAGAGAAGCCCCATGTTTGAAGCTACTTATTTTTGACCAACTTCTCTTGTCAGTTCATTCAAGGCCTATGCTGAGATGGGTTGGTTCTCAAAGTTCTCGTCACCTGCAATTTTATTCATTTTCTTATCAATTCTGTTGGTTCCTACAAGAACCCATCTTCAATCCAGTGAAGAAGGATACATCTCAGTAGTAATATCCAATAAGGGTCTTGATTTTGTTAAGAGTGTTCTGATAAGCAAGGCTATTTCCTCTATAATTCCACTCAAACTGAAAGATATCGAGAAGTCTAAGAAAATCCCAGTAGTTGGGAAAGTTCAAATGGTTCTATCCAATATCACAATTTACAATGTTAATATTGATACTTCATATGCTAAAATTGGAGATACAGGTGTTGTTCTTGTTGCATCAGGTGCTACCGCGAATTTGAGCATGAATTGGAAGTACTCTTATGGTACTTGGTTACTGCCAATTGCTGTTTCTGATAGTGGGAGTGCCTCTGTTCTGGTATGCAGTTAAGACCTTTTCTCTTTCAACATTTGCTTATGAGAGTTCAAGATTATAAAAGATGAAAGAGTTGATACTGGTTCATTAGATTGACTTTTCTTAGTCCTTTTAAGTAACACAGTCGTGTCAATTAGCGTATTTCTTTAAACATAAACTTTCAACTAACAAAAAGTATCTGCTCAAAGGTTGAAGGTATGGAAGTGGGAGTTACCATAGCTTTGAAGGATCAAGGAGGAATGATTAAGCTTTCTCTCTTAGACTGTGGAAGCTCTGTAAAAGATATCTCTGTAAAATTGGATGGTGGAGCCTCCTGGCTTTATCAAGGGTATGTAATTCTTTTACTCAATATAATAATTTCAGAAGCTTATACAATACTTTGTTTATACCTTAATATTCAGATTCCTATTTTCCAGGGTGGTTGAAGCATTTGGAGGGAAAATAAGGTCTCAAGTTGAAGATGCTATTTCCAAGAAAACCAGAGAAGAGATAACCAAGCTGGATTCCTTATTGCAATCACTCCCAAAAGAAATCCCAGTTAATGATGTTGCAGCATTTAATGTTACTTTTGTCAGCAGTCCTGTGTTGAGAAGTTCTTCAGTTGAACTTGAGATTAATGGTTTATTTTCTGCATCAAGTGACACTGCAGTCCCAAACTATGACCACAAAAGACTACAGGCTTCTATTTACTGTAATACTGCAGCTAAGATGATTGGAATTGCATTTCATGAAAATGTTTTCAGTTCAGCTGCATTAGTGTACTTCAATGTAAGTTTGTACCCTACTAATCTTAGACTACTCAACTATTGTTGGATACTTGTATGAACTAAACTTCTTTTTTGTTTTTGGTTCAGGCAAATTATATGCACTGGATTGTGGACAAAGTACCAGACGAGTCACTTCTGAACACTGCTGGATGGAGATACATTGTTCCGAAACTGTATAAACTGTATCCGAACGACGAAATGAATCTGAATCTATCGGTTACTTCTCCTCCAATCATAAAAATTTCAGAGCATGACATTGATGTCACAGTTTACTTAGATGTGATAATCAATGTTCTGGATTCAAATGAAGTTGTACCAGTTGCATGCATCTCATTGGTAAGCAAACTCAAAACACCTGTAGGCTGTAGCTTTCATGCTCTCCATCTATTTTTCTTAAAACCCCATTTGCATATTTTGTGTTACAGGTAATAAGCACTTCATGTACTCCAAAAATCTTGAGCAATAACCTTATTGGAAGCATCAGATTGATTGATTTTACTGCTGCTTTGAAGTGGAGCAACATTGGAAATCTTCATATGCAACTAGTTCAGGTTAAGTACTGTACCGCCTTGTTCTACATGCTTTGATCAATTCAGAAATTTGATAATCTCACTGGCTTATTGAATTGGCTATGCATCTCACTGGTTTGTGGGTACATATTCTGCAGTCAGTAATGTCCACTCTCCTCAAAACAGTCTTCATGCCATATGTGAACTTACACCTCTTGAGAGGATTTCCTCTGCCGATTGTTCGAGGTTTTTCGATTCGAAATGCTGACATTTTCTACATTGATTCTAGGGTTGTAATCTGCAGTGATGTAGCCTTCACAGAACAAACTGAATTCTATCAGCAACCAATTTACTACAGCTAGAGACTTTGCTACTTTGGGTATGTAAATGTAAAAAGAAGTGAAGTTGTGTCACTATTTTGTAAATAACACTTTAGCATAAGTTTTGGTATTTTTCAAAGAGCCCCTTCCATTTTAAATTAAATTGTGACCTCAATAGAAAAGATAACTTCACATGCATTTATGAGAGAAAATCAACTATTCAACTTAATTTCATCATAAGAGCCTGTGTAACAAAATTTAATTTTATATATGAGTACATTTACTTGTATAGTAGAAAATTAATACGCAATGAATAAATGAATCGAGTATTCTAAAAAAATGGAGCTACTGTATTTTCACGGTAACTACTTTAGAAAATTTTGTCTCTCAATAACAGCAACGTCCGTTAGTAAACAACAATGGTGAATAATGATGACAACCGTTAATAAACGTTAACTAATGAGAAAAACCGTCAAGTGACTGTGTCGTTAACTAACAGTGTTAAACTGTTAAGTAATGGTGACATTACTAACAGTTAAGTGTATCATTTATCGACGATATTAATTATTAAATAATGATAACGTCTATTAGAGGACGTTTAATAATAAGCAGACTCATTCAATAACAGTAATGTTTACATGAAAAAGGGTGGTCATATTCATGTTATTTATTAATGAAAAACAAAATAAAAGAAAAATACATTAAAAATACAAACTAAAAATTAATGTATGCATAATAACTTGTGATAAACATTCTTATTTCATGTTAAATTATATATATACATTAAATTGTTGTTTTATTGTTAAACTAAAACAAAAATTACATCATACTATTAACGTGATAATGTTACTAAATAGACGTTTTATCGTATTTTATCGATCTTAGTATATTAAAATAATTACATATATTAAAAAATAATAATATGATAATGTTACTGCAGTCATATTTTATTTAACGTATTTTACCTATCTTGATATATTATATCGTATATTTAAAAAAAAAAAAAAATTGTTACAAACCCTAAACACAAAATCCCCCAAATTTCGTTTCCACAGTGAACCGTTCCAATAAACCGGTATTATCATTGAAAAGCGAAGCGGTTCAGTCAACAAACCGTACAAATTAAATTCTAAATAAACCCCTTCTCTCTCTATCTTTCTCTTACTGCCTCCTAAAACATCTCTCTTTGCAGGTTGCGCGAAAACGACATCGTTTCATGCACTTGAAACTCTGGAACCCAAACCCAATTCGATGGATCCAACACCAACAACGCCAAGTGTTGCACCAAACGAACCGTTAAACCCCGACCCACAAGCCTCAACAGCAACAAAACCGCTCGACAAAAGAGCGGCAGAGAACACAGAGTCTCAAGAGTTATTGGCAATGAAGTCTCCCAAGAGGGCGCGAATTGGCACCGAGAAGGAGGCGAAGCGAGTGGCGGAGATCGTGCTGGTTTTGTCGGCGATGTGGCGGATGAGAGGCGGAGGAAGGGGCCCGACGGAGGCGGAGCTCCGGCTGATGGCGGAAGCCAGAGAGAAGGTGGTGGAGATGTGTGAGGGCTTGGCGCCCAGAGACATTGTGGCGAGAGACGCAATTGTGGGATTAATTGAAGATTTGGGACTTAATGGGAGAATTAAGGAACAGAGATTAGGGTTTCGTGGGCAACGGTTGAGTATTAAGGATAAGCTTGAGCTTACTAAGAAGAAGGTAATAAAAGGATTCTGAAAATCGTGTTCTGGTTTTAGTTTTCGTTAATTTTGTTATTTACTGTGCTATTTGTGTGTCTAGTTTCAGTTAAATTGAGTATTTGGGAGAAGCCAGAGCTTACTTAGAGGAAGAAAATAAAGATTAGGATTTTGCTTTTTGATTTATTTTTGGTTAATTTTGCTGCGTAATGTGTTCTTTATGTGTTTAGCTTCAATAGTATTGCGTATTAAGGTGCAGTTTTGAGTTTTCTGAGAGAAAGATTATAAAGATTAAAGAGTAAAGGTTTTTTGCCTTTGTGATTTTGTGGCATCTGAAATCGTACGTTGGTTTTAGTTTTGGTTACTTATGTTGTTTAATGTGTTCATTTTGTGTTTAGTTTTAATTGTAATGAATTTGGTCAGAGGAAGTATGGGAGGGTTATTTGATATTGTGGGTTATGTGGTTTTGATTGGGTTAGAATTCTCAGTTTGGTTCTAAATTCTTTGTTCTTTTTATGAATTATCTTGAAATCGAATATTTTCTGTGTTTGGTGATGGAAAAACTTTGGATAGATAGAAACTATGTTTGGTTGATATGGACAGGGTTTATGTGATTATTACATGGAATTTTTGTGTTTTTGTATAGTATGTTGCTTTTGCTTTTGTTTCTAATAATATTTTGTTCACTCAATCCAGTATTTGCTTTTCAAGGTATTTGTTTCACAGATTTGAAACTATAGATCAAGCTTTGGTATGGTGCTATTTTGTTTTGAGAGAGCTTAAAAAGAGATAATAAGTTGTGTAATGTTTTTTAATTGATTAAGCTACTTGAAGCTTCACCTAGCCCACAAAAAATAAAAAAAACAGAACATCTAGTCCAACTTTAGTGGTGACTTATAAATCCAGGAACCTTTCTTTACATTTTGTCTAGATTCTAGGAAATAGTTTAAGAAACAGAGCCCAATAGACAACATATTTTTTCTTTTCTTCCTAAAGTAGTGGATTAAAGGTTATACTTCTACTGGATCTCTAACAACAAATTAGACTAAGCTTGTGTGTTCCTGAGCTAATAATTGTTTCTCTTTTTTGGCTGGAGTATATTGAAATTACTTCTTTAACATGTTATGTAACCATACATATTATTTTGAACTGTGATATTTTTGTTATTTTTTTTTTTTTTTAAATCTAGATGGAAGACTCCAAGAAATTTGCAGCACAACCTACTACATATACTTCTCACCCTCACCCGTTGCAGACAAGTTTTGGTACAACAGCTGATAGTCGTGGGGTGTCACATACTGTTCGCATGTTCTCATCAGATAAATCAGGTCTTTCTCCAGCAATACACTCTGGAGGCTTCCCAGCTTCATCGCCTCCTGTCCATGTTTCTGCTGGAACTTCCACACCTCCACCATATCACTTGCCCACCAGTGAAGTAAGAACACCTACAATTTCTACTGGCAGCCATTTAGGAAAGGATTCATCTTCATCAGCACTGCATAGGATTGAGAGACCACAAATTAGATTGGATGGGGGATCAAATGGGTCTTCTTATGCATCCCAAGTACAAGGTAATTCCCTCCTATCTTTTCTGCAGTCACAAGTAATGGTTGAAGATCTGATTTTGCTATGTATATATTGATTTGTAACTTCTGAGCCTTCTTTTATATTTTGTTGTTCAGAAGTTGTGAGGCTATCAGATGACGGACAACTGTGCTTCATATATTGCTTGTCCAATTGAGATAAAGACTTTTTTTTTTTTGGTTAAAGTTAGATAATGAAGAATAGATGATAAAATTTTCAGGATACCCTGCCAACTTTTTCTGTTCTTATGTGCCTCAGTTTTCTTTTCCTTATTTTCATTTTAACTGGAATTTTTTGTTTTAAACTTTTTTGGTTTCCTTCTTTATGATCGCACTTACATATATATATTATTTGTTGCAGCAAATACTTCCTCAAATCACTTGGTGAATGCTCCAACTTGGACTGTGCACCCCCAATCTGCCTCATCAGCTAAACCCGGACCAGAAAACAAGGTGCAAAATCTTAATCCTATCAAGTTTGAGGGAACTGCTGATCTATCACGGACAGTTCCTCAAGCAGCTAGAGATCAAACCTTTAGATCATTTATGACTCAAACTGCATCTGGAAATTTGCCCAGCATGCATCAGCCTTCACAAGGTGTGAATACTGTTCAAGCTCCACATTCTAGCAATAGTCACCATGACATTGCTAAGATTGTTCAGAAGTTACTGCATCCAAAGCTTCCTGAGCATCCCACATGGACCCCACCTTCAAGAGAATATATGAATAAGGCTTTGACTTGCCAAATGTGCAAACTTACTGTCAATGAAGTGGAAACTATCGTTCTTTGTGATGCTTGTGAGAAAGGATTTCACTTGAAATGTCTGCAACTGAATAATCAGAAAGGAATCCCTAGAGGTGGTGAGTGGCATTGTGTGATTTGCTTGAAATTAAGCAATGGAAAACCTTTGCCCCCTAAATATGGTCGTGTCATGAGAAGTATAAATGCACCAAAAATGCCTTCCAACACATCTGTATTTCAGTCATCTCCAGAGAAGAAAGTTGGATCTGTAGATTTGAAGGTTAATCAGCAGAAGATAACTGTAAATGGAAGCTCTGCTGGGTCTGGTACTATAGGTAGCAACACTCTAGAATTGGCACCTGGTTCAAAAATTCAAAATACTAGTGCAACACAAGGCAGTGATTTCTTGTCTGGCACAAAAGATACAGATCAGGAAACCACTTCTGGTACTTTCCTAAATAACACAACAAAATCTATAGGAGCTGTTTTGGATTTGCCATCTGTTGATTCATCCAGTGAACGGTTAACTCAGCCCACCCAAGTATGTGAATCATCTACACACACAGAGAAATTGCCTTCCGCCTCGAAATCACAGCCTCCTGATATATTATCAGGGCCAACAAATAATCATTCTGATCATGTACAATCTTCACATGATTCACAAGTTGTTTGTACAGATCTTCCCAGCTGTGCTGAAGTTTCTTTAGAGAAAAGTCATGAGGGCAACTCTATGGTTAAGCAAGATGGGAAAGACGTTGCACAGCCAAATCCTGTTGAAAGTTCTGGGGTTTCTTCTGATTTATTGCGAGATGTGGAATGGATTGGTGACGTACTTCAAACTGTGGATGAGAAAATTTTTTACGAGTATTGTTCCGTTGAAGGAATAATGTATAAAGTGCAGGATCATGCGCTTTTGCAGTTTAATCATGGCAAAACAATACCATCTAAGCTTCAGGTAAGTGTTGATCAAGCATACCCTGAAATTTGTATCACTTGTGTATATTCTTTGGAAATAAATTTACTTTCCAGTTTTTAATGTGGTCCAGTTTTGATTTCTATTGTAGGCCATGTGGGAGGATACTAGAAATGGGTCAAAGTGGGTTAAGGTAAATAGGTGCTTCTTTCCTGGTGACTTGCCAGAGGCTGTTGGCCGCCCATGTGCCCCTGAAAGCAGTGAGGTGATTTTTTTTCTGAAATTTAGTCTTCTACTTGTATTTCTATTTTTATAAGACCTTTTTATGTAATTGCACATTATTGGTTGTCTGCCTGCTGGTTCGCTGGGTGAGATATTGAGGGAGAGTGAAAGGTTGCTTGAAGTCTGCCTCTTCCCTTTCTTGGATTGGAATTTGTATATACTTTATGTTAACTATGCATATTAGTTTTCAATTTAACTCGCTGTTTCTATGCTACAGCTCTATGACTCTAATAGTGAGAACATTATGATGGCGGGCTTGATTGAAGGTCCATGTGAAGTTCTCACTGCTGGCAAGTTTAAGGAAGAGAATGAAAGACTCAGTCGTTTAGGAATTAAGGCAGATAGAGGAAGACAGCCAATGTTCCTGTGCAAGTATGTATTTTTACTCTATTCATTACATACAGGCAGGAAATGAATTCAGCCTGGGTTTTTTTCTGATAGTAGAGCATTTTTCTGCTGCAGATGGTTTTATGATGAACTGAAAGGGGTATTTCGGCCTGTTTCCGATTAATCTAGTCAAGCACCTAGCTTAGTCAACATTTTTTCTTGTCTTTTGTTGTGGCAATTCCATCAGTACTCATTTTTGTTCAGGTATATACCCGCTGATTTTGTTTCTATTTTACTTTCAAATACTTTTAATTTCCTTATTATCTGATTTAGAGTAATTAAAAAGAGGTACACTTTTCTAAAATCATTCTCTATTTGATTTGTTTGTGACGAAACAGGTGATGGAAATGGGTACTTTAAACTTTTGATGAGGGAGCTCATACCTTGTACCATATTTAGCTGCAGCTTTAGTCTGTATGATCTCCCAATAGTAATTTAAATTGTATTCTTTCATGCCCCATTTTTGGTGCCTGAGACTTGCTGTAAACTAACTATGGCAGAGTAATTTATAAAAATTATATTTCTGCTGTTCCTTATTCTTTTTAGTGATTCCAATGCCAAATTAATTTCTCTATGTGAAGTATCATTCATTTCAGATGCGATTAAAACTCTCGATTCTGATACCATCGACCCTCTTGAGATAATGTCATTGTGCTTGGTTCCTTTCTTGGATAGAATTTTTTCAGAAAGATTATAAAGATTAAAGAGTAAAGGTTTTTTGCCTTTGTGATTTTGGGCATCTGAAATCGTAGGTTGGTTTTAGTTTTGGTTACTTATGTTGTTTAATGTGTTCATTTTGTGTTTAGTTTTAATTGTAATGAATTTGGTCAGAGGAAGTATGGGAGGGTTATTTGATATTGTGGGTTATGTGGTTTTGATTGGGTTAGAATTCTCAGTTTGGTTCTAAATTCTTTGTTCTTTTTATGAATTATCTTGAAATCGAATATTTTCTGTGTTTGGTGATGGAAAAACTTTGGATAGATAGAAACTATGTTTGGTTGATATGGACAGGGTTTATGTGATTATTACATGGAATTTTTGTGTTTTTGTATAGTATGTTGCTTTTGCTTTTGCTTTTGTTTCTAATAATATTTTGTTCACTCAATCCAGTATTTGCTTTTCAAGGTATTTGTTTCACAGATTTGAAACTATAGATCAAGCTTTGGTATGGTGCTATTTTGTTTTGAGAGAGCTTAAAAAGAGATAATAAGTTGTGTAATGTTTTTTAATTGATTAAGCTACTTGAAGCTTCACCTAGCCCACAAAAAATAAAAAAAACAGAACATCTAGTCCAACTTTAGTGGTGACTTATAAATCCAGGAACCTTTCTTTACATTTTGTCTAGATTCTAGGAAATAGTTTAAGAAACAGAGCCCAATAGACAACATATTTTTTCTTTTCTTCCTAAAGTAGTGGATTAAAGGTTATACTTCTACTGGATCTCTAACAACAAATTAGACTAAGCTTGTGTGTTCCTGAGCTAATAATTGTTTCTCTTTTTTGGCTGGAGTATATTGAAATTACTACTTTAACATGTTATGTAACCATACATATTATTTTGAACTGGGATATTTTTGTTATTTTTTTTTTTTTTTGAATCTAGATGGAAGACTCCAAGAAATTTGCAGCACAACCTACTACATATACTTCTCACCCTCACCCGTTGCAGACAAGTTTTGGTACAACAGCTGATAGTCGTGGGGTGTCACATACTGTTCGCATGTTCTCATCAGATAAATCAGGTCTTTCTCCAGCAATACACTCTGGAGGCTTCCCAGCTTCATCGCCTCCTGTCCATGTTTCTGCTGGAACTTCCACACCTCCACCATATCACTTGCCCACCAGTGAAGTAAGAACACCTACAATTTCTACTGGCAGCCATTTAGGAAAGGATTCATCTTCATCAGCACTGCATAGGATTGAGAGACCACAAATTAGATTGGATGGGGGATCAAATGGGTCTTCTTATGCATCCCAAGTACAAGGTAATTCCCTCCTATCTTTTCTGCAGTCACAAGTAATGGTTGAAGATCTGATTTTGCTATGTATATATTGATTTGTAACTTCTGAGCCTTCTTTTATATTTTGTTGTTCAGAAGTTGTGAGGCTATCAGATGACGGACAACTGTGCTTCATATATTGCTTGTCCAATTGAGATAAAGACTTTTTTTTTTTTGGTTAAAGTTAGATAATGAAGAATAGATGATAAAATTTTCAGGATACCCTGCCAACTTTTTCTGTTCTTATGTGCCTCAGTTTTCTTTTCCTTATTTTCATTTTAACGGGAATTTTTTGTTTTAAACTTTTTTGGTTTCCTTCTTTATGATCGCACTTACATATAGATATTATTTGTTGCAGCAAATACTTCCTCAAATCACTTGGTGAATGCTCCAACTTGGACTGTGCACCCCCAATCTGCCTCATCAGCTAAACCCGGACCAGAAAACAAGGTGCAAAATCTTAATCCTATCAAGTTTGAGGGAACTGCTGATCTATCACGGACAGTTCCTCAAGCAGCTAGAGATCAAACCTTTAGATCATTTATGACTCAAACTGCATCTGGAAATTTGCCCAGCATGCATCAGCCTTCACAAGGTGTGAATACTGTTCAAGCTCCACATTCTAGCAATAGTCACCATGACATTGCTAAGATTGTTCAGAAGTTACTGCATCCAAAGCTTCCTGAGCATCCCACATGGACCCCACCTTCAAGAGAATATATGAATAAGGCTTTGACTTGCCAAATGTGCAAACTTACTGTCAATGAAGTGGAAACTATCGTTCTTTGTGATGCTTGTGAGAAAGGATTTCACTTGAAATGTCTGCAACTGAATAATCAGAAAGGAATCCCTAGAGGTGGTGAGTGGCATTGTGTGAATTGCTTGAAATTAAGCAATGGAAAACCTTTGCCCCCTAAATATGGTCGTGTCATGAGAAGTATAAATGCACCAAAAATGCCTTCCAACACATCTGTATTTCAGTCATCTCCAGAGAAGAAAGTTGGATCTATAGATTTGAAGGTTAATCAGCAGAAGATAACTGTAAATGGAAGCTCTGCTGGGTCTGGTACTATAGGTAGCAACACTCTAGAATTGGCACCTGGTTCAAAAATTCAAAATACTAGTGCAACACAAGGCAGTGATTTCTTGTCTGGCACAAAAGATACAGATCAGGAAACCACTTCTGGTACTTTCCTAAATAACACAACAAAATCTATAGGAGCTGTTTTGGATTTGCCATCTGTTGATTCATCCAGTGAACGGTTAACTCAGCCCACCCAAGTATGTGAATCATCTACACACACAGAGAAATTGCCTTCCGCCTCGAAATCACAGCCTCCTGATATATTATCAGGGCCAACAAATAATCATTCTGATCATGTACAATCTTCACATGATTCACAAGTTGTTTGTACAGATCTTCCCAGCTGTGCTGAAGTTTCTTTAGAGAAAAGTCATGAGGGCAACTCTATGGTTAAGCAAGATGGGAAAGACGTTGCACAGCCAAATCCTGTTGAAAGTTCTGGGGTTTCTTCTGATTTATTGCGAGATGTGGAATGGATTGGTGACGTACTTCAAACTGTGGATGAGAAAATTTTTTACGAGTATTGTTCCGTTGAAGGAATAATGTATAAAGTGCAGGATCATGCGCTTTTGCAGTTTAATCATGGCAAAACAATACCATCTAAGCTTCAGGTAAGTGTTGATCAAGCATACCCTGAAATTTGTATCACTTGTGTATATTCTTTGGAAATAAATTTACTTTCCAGTTTTTAATGTGGTCCAGTTTTGATTTCTATTGTAGGCCATGTGGGAGGATACTAGAAATGGGTCAAAGTGGGTTAAGGTAAATAGGTGCTTCTTTCCTGGTGACTTGCCAGAGGCTGTTGGCCGCCCATGTGCCCCTGAAAGCAGTGAGGTGATTTTTTTTCTGAAATTTAGTCTTCTACTTGTATTTCTATTTTTATAAGACCTTTTTATGTAATTGCACATTATTGGTTGTCTGCCTGCTGGTTCGCTGGGTGAGATATTGAGGGAGAGTGAAAGGTTGCTTGAAGTCTGCCTCTTCCCTTTCTTGGATTGGAATTTGTATATACTTTATGTTAACTATGCATATTAGTTTTCAATTTAACTCGCTGTTTCTATGCTACAGCTCTATGACTCTAATAGTGAGAACATTATGATGGCGGGCTTGATTGAAGGTCCATGTGAAGTTCTCACTGCTGGCAAGTTTAAGGAAGAGAATGAAAGACTCAGTCGTTTAGGAATTAAGGCAGATAGAGGAAGACAGCCAATGTTCCTGTGCAAGTATGTATTTTTACTCTATTCATTACATACAGGCAGGAAATGAATTCAGCCTGGGTTTTTTTCTGATAGTAGAGCATTTTTCTGCTGCAGATGGTTTTATGATGAACTGAAAGGGGTATTTCGGCCTGTTTCCGATTAATCTAGTCAAGCACCTAGCTTAGTCAACATTTTTTCTTGTCTTTTGTTGTGGCAATTCCATCAGTACTCATTTTTGTTCAGGTATATACCCGCTGATTTTGTTTCTATTTTACTTTCAAATACTTTTAATTTCCTTATTATCTGATTTAGAGTAATTAAAAAGAGGTACACTTTTCTAAAATCATTCTCTATTTGATTTGTTTGTGACGAAACAGGTGATGGAAATGGGTACTTTAAACTTTTGATGAGGGAGCTCATACCTTGTACCATATTTAGCTGCAGCTTTAGTCTGTATGATCTCCCAATAGTAATTTAAATTGTATTCTTTCATGCCCCATTTTTGGTGCCTGAGACTTGCTGTAAACTAACTATGGCAGAGTAATTTATAAAAATTATATTTCTGCTGTTCCTTATTCTTTTTAGTGATTCCAATGCCAAATTAATTTCTCTATGTGAAGTATCATTCATTTCAGATGCGATTAAAACTCTCGATTCTGATACCATCGACCCTCTTGAGATAATGTCATTGTGCTTGGTTCCTTTCTTGGATAGAATTTTTTTGAACTCTGGCCATTGAAGTACACAAAGTTCATCCATCTTCATGCAGTTCTGAGTTTCATAACTGATCTCTTATCTAGCCGGTAGTTTCAGGATTCCGGAGGATTAGTTGTGGTATGCATAAGCTGGAGTAGCAGTGGTAACTCCTTTATGCTTTCTATCATCTACTCCCTAAATGGACTGCCATGGATAATCAATTTGAACCATCTATTCAAGTTTATCAATAAATCAAGCCTCTTCAAAGCTGAGATTGATTGGGAATGGCTTATTCCCCAAGGTTTATAAGAGAGAAACTCTATTCCAAGATACAGGTTATTAATCTCTGACAGATATCAACTTGAATCAAATTGAACCCATGCACATTTCTACAGATAAGTGAAGAAGACAGCAGTAAATTCTTGATGCATTAAATTAATGTTCAGCTCGATGCCCTCGATTTAATAACAATGGCAATTTATAATATGTTCCAAACCCAGAATTTTATGCTCAATACTCAATTTCCAATACCTTTAAACTTAAGTTGTTCCTTCATCTAGGGGCCAATACTAGCCCTACGTTTTTAAAATTGTTTGGTTGCTTCTGAATGATCCCATTTTGCATTAATTTCTGAGTGTTTCTTGGCACTCACTTGTAGAAACCCATGTTTAGAGTGATAAGAGATAAATTCTACCTTGTAATCCAATCAATCTTCAGAGAAAATTAGATTTAAAAAATTCATTAAAGTAATCACACTATTGAGTAGAGGTCACAACCCTCTAGTTAATGTTTCTTCTTATTTTAGTCCATTTTATTTTGTGATTCAATATATAGCTTATGTCCTCACTATTCCCAACCTAGGTTGAATTTTGCCTGATAAATCCAGAACCATACCATTACTGGGTTTGAATAATTACAGGAAGATTGTTCCTTTCAACTCCTGCAAAACCATGCTTTGGATTTGGTGTCCAATCCAAAATTTATGCAAATATTCAAATGGGATCCATCAATTATGTCATTACACATGAAATTGAATTTCACTTTTGGGAGTATTGTCAACATTGTAATTTCAAAAGGTAACATTTTTCTTCACGAAAGCAAAAGAAGACTTTCTTTTTGTTAATCTCGATTCAAATTGACATTTCCTTTGATTAAAGTCTTGTAAATTTCATCATCTATTGGAGAAGTAACCAGAATCCCTTCTAATAAAATCAAAATTCCTTTTGCCCTTTTCGAATCGTATAACACGTTAAACACAAGATTACAATCGAAAAAATATAAAATAAACAATCATCTTCTCTTTCAAGGTTCAAACTTCAAATAACTCAATTATATATGCATGTTATGGTGGTCCAATATGGTGAAAATATTACTAGACAAAATACTCATGACAAAAAATAACTATACATAGCTTCATGCTTATCCATCTTCTCTCTTTTTTGACCATTCCACCATTGCTGATAGCTTCTCTTTAACTACCCAGAAAACAAAAACAACTTTATTTATTTAAAAGCATTAAAATATTAGCCATTTCATTTCTGACTAATCCCTTACCATCAAGTGTAAAGCTCTTTTCTCTCAGTTTTTGAACAAAGCAAAGGGGGCCAATATAAAACTTTACTTAAAGAAAAAGACTTTACGTATGTAGTCAGTAATAATATTATCGATTTTGCATGGTTTTTTTTTTAAAACATATTTCAGTAAACTAGAAGCAAACCCTGGTTATGAAATGAATAATAGATATAATTAAAGATTAAAGTTGAATAATTAAGAAGAACTGAAAGAGGTATATATAGCTATGCCTATATAGGCAGAGTTTCAGTTTCAGATGAACAGGCGACTATCACGGCCAGTTTAAGACTTCGATCGTGGAGGGGTCGCAGTCTCGCAGACACAGAGATAGGTAAAATTAATTAATCTGATAAAACAAGATCCCAGGTCTTTAGATCACTTGCTAAAAAGGGTTTTAAAAAAAAAAGAAAAGAAAACATTAATTAAAGAAGGTTACTGTATGTTAATGGTGATGGTGTGAAAATTCTGTTCTTTTCACTGCCTCTTTATGGAGCCTGTAATTAATCAAACAAAGACTAGTAGTCTAATTAATAGCTAGAAGAAGTTAGGTAGAAGGTGGGAACCTTGATTTCTGGGGTGATGGTTTAATAATTAAATTATAAAATCAGGAGAATAATTAATCATAATTTAAACTTTTAATAGATCTCTCTGATCCCCATTATCTCATATACAGTTTTCTCATTAATCACAAAAGTTTAACTTTAATCAATCAATTAATTAATTAATTAATTATGATTATGATTATGATATGTTAAAAAAGTTTGCATTGCATGCATGGCATGTGCATGGCCATGGCATGGCAAGCTGAGTTATTTTTATTTTAGAGTAAACATCTTTTTCCCACTCAAAAACTACTTTTACTGACACTTTTCCGTCGACCTCGTCAATCGTCGGCCGATTCTAGCATCGATATGACCTCACACCATTATCACTATTCTCTTCTCCGATCATCAATCACTGAAACCCTTTAAACTTTACTTTTGTTGACTCCGCCAATCGCTGACAATCGAGCGATTAGGATTTACGTAGTCGTCTCTCTCAAGTCAAATTCTGACCAATTGTGACCACCAAAATCCAACTTTCAATTATCAAAAGACTCACTAGCTTCCTCTATTTAAAAGCCTCAACAACATGAATCAAGTTTGCTCTCCGTTAGACGTCGAATCGGAAAGCATATTTTTTTTTTTTTGGTGAGAAAACGGTGTTTTAAAAGTTTATGGATGGTAAAAAAGTATCGTTAAACTATTATTTTGGTGGGAAAAAGTCTGCAACTCATTTATTATATATCTTGATGGATTTCATCATCAAACTGTAGCAACAACACCTTCTAATCATTCTCTTAAACCATAATAAATACAAAGAAATTAATATTTCTAGCTTTAAGAGACATACTGATTGTCTTCTTTTGTTTATTGGTTTTGTTAATGTCTTTATACGTATCGTTTAAGCAGATAATTACTCAATAATTAATCTTTAATTACTTATAATTTGTACTATATTATTTGGCATATGATCCAAGCAAACCTTTTTGTACTCAATAATAACCTCAAACCAGGTTCAGTCGATTAGATACAAACAGTTATAGTACTACTAGTACTCCATTTTTATATAAGGGTTAAGTTTTTGTTCTTTTCTGATTAGAAGGTAGCTAATACTTGATTATGGTGTTCTAATTAAACTACCATTAATTTAATTGATTGCTGTTGGGTTATATGAGGATGGCTTGGGGCCACGATTACTGTTCATTTTTGCATGTAATTGATAACCTTTAATTATTAATTCTCTACTAGTGTTAGTCTGCAGATTTATGATCAACTTTTTAGATTGTTAATTATCATTTTTTGTTTTTTTTACGAACGGGAGTGTCTGGACCAGCTTACGTACACCTCAACTAATATTTTGAAACCCTGAAACTACTAGTCGGGTAAGAGATTTAGTAGCTACGTCAATCAAATGGGGACTCGAACTTAGGACCTCTTGAGTAATACACTCAAAAGTCTTTATCGAACCACTCAGTCATCCAGAAATAGTTAATTCCTCACAATATGAAACACAAAATCAATTTAAGAAAGCATTTTGAAGCTCCATCTCGTGCATAATAAATATTAGTTCCATTATCAATAAATACCTTAAAACCGAATGAAGCAGTTTATATCGGGAGAGGATCCGAAATATATATATATATATACTTGTAATTTAGACATGAGTTTAATTAAGTAGATTGAATTCCGGCAATAGATATACATATATAGAGATCGGAAACATTGAAATCCGGCGTCAATCTAGGGTCTATTTGTTTAATTATTTTTGGTGCATGTGAAAGTCAAAAATAATGTGTAGATAATTTTGAACATCTTTTTTACCATCCCCTTTCTTTTCCTCTCTTCTCTCTTTATATATATTCAACTCTCCCTACCCTCTCTTTTCAACATATATACTCATCACACTTCTTCTTCTTCTTCTTCTTCCTCTTATATATATATATATATATAGTTTTTTTTTTATTTAAATTTCTTTTAAAACACACTCCAAATTCCATCAAGCTTTAGCTATATATAGCTACAAAAATGGCTCCCCAAGGAGATCTACAGTAACAAGGACTAGCTTTCGAGCTTTACTATGAGAGGTACTTTCCTCCCTTACCTTTTCCTTCGATACGTTTGTTGAGCCAAGCTCAGGTTCATTTCTTTTTTGATTATTTCCTTCAAGTTTTGGAGCATCAAAACCTCCACATAAATATATAATCTAGTGTAAAAGTTTTCTACCATTTGTAGAGTTTGAGATTATTAATTTTTTTTTTTTTTTATGTTATTTTGGTTGTATTTTAAGTTGTTAATAATTTTTCATGCAGGCGAAGCATGCTCGATCCATGCTGCACCTACTGAAAGAAACCCTAGATAATGTTCAGCTAAAACCGGCCTCGGAAGTGCCCTTCACCGTGGCGGATTTAGGCTGTTCTTGTGGCAACAATACACTCTACATCGTTGATGTCATTATCAAGCACATGATCGAGCGGTACGAGTCCTCGGGATACGTGCCTCCCGAGTTTTCCGCCTTCTTCTCCGACCTCCCTAGCAATGACTTCAACACTCTATTTCAACTCCTCCCACCTATTGCCAAAGGTAGCATGGAGGAGTGCCTAGCCACCGATAACCACCGCTCTTACTTCGTCGCCGGCGTGCCCGGATCATTTTACCGCCGGCTTTTCCCTACAAGATCAATTGATTTCTTCCACTCTGCATTCTCCTTGCATTGGCTATCTCAGGTGATCATTATTCTGATAAAACTTACATGTTTATGCAGTGAAATTTCATTATTTTGTCATGAAGTTGTAAGCTTGATAATATATATTATTAAAAGATATTATTATTATCAACATAATTTAGTGCATTCCCTAGAATGATTTATGGGTTGTGAATTTAGTATAATATTCAGTAATGGTAATTAAGTTATAGACAAGAACCTATTGAATTTGAGTGAGCAAGAATCAAATGTTTTTTTTATTTTTTGCCGGCTTTTAGAAGGTCAAAAAGTTAATGCTTTATAAATATTGTCTCTGTTATTGGCTGAAACTTGCAGGAACTGTTTCCCAAAATACATTTGGTCCGTTTTACTTTTGCTTTTGCTTTAGACAAAAAACAAAAAACTTTGATAAAAACCCAGATAAATAATAGCTCTAATTAATCTCCATTGATATAATAGGTACCAGAGAGTGTGCAAGACAAGAGATCACCAGCATACAACAAAGGGAGGGTGTTCATCCACAATGCAAATGAACAGACAGCAAATGCATACAAAAGCCAGTTCCAAAGAGACTTGGCTGCATTTCTCAAAGCAAGATCACAAGAAATGAAGAGAGGAGGGTCAATGTTTCTTGTCTGCCTAGGCAGAACCTCACCTGACCCCACTGACCAAGGTGGCCCCGGCATCCTCTTCGGGACCCACTTTCAGGACTCTTGGAATGATCTTGTTCTCGAGGTAATCATGATTCACAGCTCCTCGTTTTTTGTATACATACCCTCTCTCTGTTAAATGGTTTGCCGATAACCCTTTTAGACGATCATGCAGAATACATGTAATAATAACCCTTTACAAAAGTTGTAATGTTGGTTCAGGCCATAAGGCCTCCCTTTTGGACTTGGGTCAAGTTTGGTTCATTTTGGCAGACCAAAAAGCAACAAGACACCATGGAAAGAGAGTTAGGTATCATTAGGTGTGTTTGGGTTGATTAGCCCATATGTGTCATGAATTCTCACTGGTCATTATTAGCCCACATCGATCCTAGCCGTTGATACTCGTTCCACGACTAGATCTATGCCGTCCATCTGTCAATCATCGTGTCGGCACTATGGTAAAATATTTGCCAAGTGGGGATGTGTGAATGAACCTATAGTATAGATTGATGTTGCAGCACAAACACAATCATGTTCTTGCAGCAAGACACAAAAACAAACTCATTTAGGTCATCTCGGATTATTGCTAACCAGATAAGGTTGAAAAAAACCCTAGGGCCCAAACATGTGTTCAAACAGTTTTAAGAGTACATTTACTTATGATTTTGTCCCTTAATCATCTACTGTATTCAAGATGGTCCATAGATTATGATAAGGTATTCATAGTTTACCTACTGTTGGTCTTTGGAAACTCTTCTCCCCTTATAATTAATTCATACTTTCACCCATACTTGTATACTTCTGATTAGGCCCTTTTCTAAGGACATATTGAAACTCTTAAGGCCCATTACATGGCCTGTGTCTTTAGTCTTTCATGGATTTCAGACGTGAACGTTTTGAGATTCTTAATCTTTTTTTTTAATTTACAGATCAGTAATTAGCTACTAATTATATATAACTATAACAGGGCCTTATAACAAGTGAAAAACGTGACACTTTCAACATACCAGTGTATGCATCGAGCTTACAAGACTTTAGGGAGGTGGTTGAAGCAAATGGGTCATTCAGAATCAACAAGCTAGAGATATTCAAAGGAGGAAGCCCCCTTGTGGTTAGCCAGCCCGACGATGCGACTGAGGTCGGTCGAGCTCTCGCCAACAGCTGCCGGAGTGTGGCTGGGGTACTTGTTGATGCCCACATAGGTGACCAACTTAGTGAGGAGCTATTTTCAAGGGTTGAGCACCGAGGTTCAAGCCATGCCAAAGAGTTACTAGAGCAGCTGCAATTCTATCATATAGTTGCATCCCTCTCTTTTGAATAGAGAGAATTATTGTACACAAATACCCAACTTTAAAAATTTGGACATCATGTAATCAAATTAAGTATTAATCTTATTATTCTGGTTGAACTCAATACTCAACAGTTATCATTAGACCAGGTGATCTAGCATGGTTTTTCATAATCTAGCACATGTTAAACACAGATTACAAAGTTAAAACAAAATTTGATATTTGTGTCCAAATTTTTTATCCCATTACATAAAAAATAAACAAGAAAGCACATAAAATTTAGGAGGGGTGGTGGGGAATAACTTTTCTTTCCCTTTTTTAAAGCCATTTTATGTGTTTTTGTGTGTGATTATTAATAGTAGTTACCATAACTTTATATACAAATGGAGTTTGAGACTTTGTGTTCCCTTGAATGAAAAATTATAGTAAATAAAGCTAAGTAAACTCTCTTTTATTTTGCTTTATTTGTAACATATAATTATGTCTAAAATGTGTTAACTTTTGTGTATGAATAAAGGGTTTGCTTTAATTTTTCTAAGAGCTTCTGCAAATCCCATTGATTTTAGCTACTTTTCAATTATTTTTTTCTCTCTCACTTTCTGACTTACTTTTTTCTCATTTAAAGGAGCTAGGATGTAGGGTTCAAATGGTAGTTATTTCGGTTATAAAGATAGAAATATTTTGCTTCTTTTTATGAAGACTTTAGACCAGTTGAGGCTTTTGTTTAAACCCTTTCTTTCTTTCCATCAAACGATTCAAACCAATGCATTGACTGCTGCTATTAACTTAAAATATTTCTAATCAAATAATCAGTACTTTGCAATTTGTCAAACAAGCTCCACCAAAAACTATTTGTCAATTCAAAAGATCATTCAATTGCCTGTAAATAATTGATACACAAGCATAATTAAAAATACACTAACCACCACTTGGAGACGTCGTGGTAAAAAATCAAAATGAGGTTTCATGAACTTTAGAATCCAAGTCCCCACAGGTGTTTGATAGGGCCTAGGGGTGACCATTGAAAGACTTAGTTGGTTGTCAACTTCAGGGTCTCGGGGTTGAGATGCGCGTAAAATACACTTATATTTCAAGTTTATCCTCTATTTTTACCACAATAAGGTTGAGTTCTTTACAATACAAGGATATTCTTATAGGCATCAACTAACTTTATGACATTGTGACACAAAAGGTTTCAACAAAATCTAGAGACAGTTTCAGATTCGGGTTTGTAAAGCGAGCTATGGAGATTTAAGGTATAATTTTTCAATAGAAATAGGGGATATTCATATAGATATTAGCTAACTTTGTAATATAGCGACAGAAAAGGTTTCAACAAAAACAAGAGGTAGTTTCGAATTTGGATTTGTAAAGCGAGTTTTGGAGATTTTTGGATTATGAAAGAAAAAATAAAGTTCTCTTCACTCTTCAGACTCCTGCTCGGCTGGTGAGTAAAATATGAATATATCAGCCTCTTCTGGTAGTATAAATCTCACCTTCTTTTTGGCCTTCACACTTTGGCTTTTAAGCACTTTTTCTTGTTCAAAACTATCACCATATAAAGATGGATGAACTTTGTTTGAGCTATTTTTCCTGAGAACATAATTTTCACCAGCTCCATTGTTGCTGCAATACTTGTTCAAGCGTGGCGAAGCCAAGAGCAAGTCCTCTAGAGTACGCTCCCCCGCCACCTTATTTAGCTGCGGATACTCTCGTGGATTCAACTGCATATTCTTTTCTCGATCCTGGTTTGTACATAACCATCCAGGCTTCATGAGGTCAATCAATGATGGAGTTTTTTCAGCAATTTGATCTTCGAAGTCCTTCTCAGGCAACCTATGGGAACCTGAAGATTGCCTAAAACAAGAGCAGCTCCCACCCATTTGAAAAGAACGTTTAAAATTTTGGTTTTTGTGTTCAAATGGGATTAAGAATTATATAGTGAAGGTTGACGGATTCTCCAAATGATATGACAGATTTTCATGCATGGATTTTGAGCTTAGTAAGCACCAATGTTCCAAAGTTTAGTAGTGTGATTGAAACAACAGTAATGGTGTGCTGTTAGCAACATGGTATTGGATTTACTGATCCACCTTTATATACCAGAATCTTAAATAATTTGACACAGAAAAGACAGAATCTCTTGGCTTATCCACCTTATTAATCGGAAACATAAATAATTTATTCCTGGTGATAAATGCAAGAGGAGCTTGAATTACAAAGTTATCTCATGCAAAGCAAATGAGACAAAAACCCTTGAATCTCAGGGGCAAAGCAAAACAAGAGCTCTACTGTCATTTTCATTCATGAGATGCTAAATCATGATCCCAAGTATCAAGTCTTGGCTACTATTACAGGAATCAACAGGAGAGAGAAAGATACCTGGATTCCAGCCATGAGCAAGATCAGCCTATATTATCTTTCAAATGTTTGGAGAACATGGAAAATCTCCATATTGCACATAAAAACAGTAGAGGAATGGTTTTGCGCTGAAAGATTTGGTGCAGACACATTTCCACAAATAAATGTATCATAATCTAATAAGAGGCTGGGAAAAAGAATGAAGGAAAAATCAAGAATTTGCATTCACATCGATGTGTCACGACAGTAAACCATAATTCTTCTGTGCAAGTTTCCACCATCCAATGACCTTTACAAAATAAAAACAAATAGCAAAACTAGAAAACAAAAGACGAACACCACTGGATTCTGTCCCAGTCAAAAACACAAAACTTAATGACCAGCTGATGGATTTGTCAGCAACTCAAGAGATTTTTTTAAGTGTTCCACAGCAACAGATACATCATCAAATGCTAAGGCTCCAACTGCAAATCTTGCAGCCTTGTGTGCTTCGGCAATTTTCTCAGGTGTAGGCCGGTAATTGCAGTTATAATGGTATTTTTCAGTTGCAGCTGGGGCAGGTTCTGATATAGTACCATTTCTGCTGCTTGAAATGTGTTGGGAAGTTGAGGGGTAGCTTGTTGTGGGAGAAGCTGAATGGGAAGAGTAGGAAGTCTCAGAGCCTTGATAGTAAGAAGGATAATGAGACGGTACTGATGGGAGACTGCTCTCAGTAAAACTCGGATAAGACTGGAAATTTGGATAGTTGAATGCAGAGTCATGAGAAGGGTAACTATGGGGCAAATGCTGCTGGGGCTCCTGTTGGTAAGATTGGTGGTGGTAAGGCTGAGAAAACATAGAACTCTCTGATCTGTTTACTGGAGGCGGTGGAGGATAATCATGGGAAGGGTAGCCAGCAGTAGGGTTAGAATATGTAGAACTTTCAGATCTACTCAATGGAGGTGGTGGATGAAAATCATGGGAAGGAGGTGATGGCGGAATATCTGCAGACTGCTGGTCATTAACCTTATCATGGAACTGGGGCGGCGGTGGAACATTTGTAGAATAATGGCTATCAGGGAACTGTGGTGACGGAGCGGAATCTGATGCAGGACCAGTAGCTGTAATTTCACGTGTTTGGAAATCCTGAAAAACAAATATTGCAGAAATCTGATCAATAAATTACATAGTAGATTAATAAATGAATTATGCATCAGACTCAAGACGCAATTTCTGACATGATTTTTGCAACAAGCAAAATAAGATCCATTCTTGGCCACCGACAACGACGTATATCTCCTTATTATCATGTTCATACACCTACGAGCTAAAATTCTTCAAATTATAAAATGCATGCATCTCATACGTCTAGACTCTATTATCCTCTTCCTCTCTGAGACCAGTTCCCATCATCACAAAAATGGAACTCAAAGGAATATATTGTGAGCATATATGTTCTCTACTTTGATTGATTCAACAAGCTCGAGAAATGAGTTTAGAAACATACATATGAGCTACTAGGTGTAATTGGTGGAATTGATAAATCTTCACCCCCACCAGGAGGACCTGGGATTGGCTTCTTTCCTTCCTTCAAGGCTTTCCTTATATCTGCAGCTTTCCAGGCTGCATACTTCTGTTTCTGCTCAAGCTGTAATATTTTACATAAAAGTATATTTTGTTATATAGGGTAATCATAGAATTTCAGGTGCTTTAAATGTAAGCTTTGAGTAGGTGAAGATTTTATCTGAATATAAGATAACCAGAAACTCACATCGGGCTGAAGCACACCAAACTGATTTATAATCTCAAAGAAAATGCTTGCCGCATAAAACGTTTTTGCAGTATTCCTGGAAAAAAGCTCAAAAGATTTAATTCCTGAAATGAACTCATAAAGAGAAGAGAATGAGAAATTGCAGAATTTTGCACAAGTAACATGAATCAAGACTCCACCATTCAAGTGATGCTATACATGTTCAGTAGCCATGGTACTAAAAAGCATACACCAAGACCAAAAACTTTGTTGATGTATAGTCCTAGACTCCTAAAACATCCTCAAGGAAACCCACCAAAGGCCTTTGACTAGTTAAAAGGAATGAGCTATGACTTGCAAAGTAAATGATGCATGTCAAATCACTTATAATAACACCATTTTGAACCATTAATTTACACCAATTACAAAATTATTATCAACTGTTGCCAGCTTCCTAAAAGGCACTTCTTCAGTCCCACCAATGTATGACAGCACAGAGGGAGCTTCAGGACATAAGGCATATGTTCAATAAGTGCCTCACACTAAGACATGAAAACACAATGCATTTATCAACTAAGGTTACAGCTACAGGTGAGTGCTGAGGCACTAGTATCAAATGCCAAGTGGAACATAGCCATATACAAGAAAATAGAATTTGACATACAAGTCTGCTCGTCCAGCACGATCTTGCTTGTCTGCCTTAGCAAAAACATTCAAAGCAAATCCCTCTAGATACAAATTGTCTTCAGGCCCCAACTTCAATGACTTCTTATCCTGTAAAGCATCAAAATACAGTTAGACACCAACGTGGAGAAAAACATAGTTTTTTAGGAAAGCCTATCAGTCAACAAGAGAATATATGTTGAAAACTAAAGATCCCCAGCCACATGTTTCAGCCTTTTGCTTTAATAACTCATCCATAGTAAACCCTTTTTATTCCTGCTGCATATGTAACATCTTATCTTTTGCTCTTATGCATCACAGCCTACAAAGAATATGTTCTACAATCTCACCTATTCTGAGAATAACATCTATGTAGGTTATCACTATATAAACAAAATTATGTTTACATTCCAAGGAATACCAGATAAACATTCGCAATGTCCACCAGAACTGTCAATGTAATGATACAAAAACTACAAGCTCCAAAACTTAAATCAACATAAAACCATTTGATTGCCCAGAGACAGAAGAGAAGAATCAAATAAACAGATTATCTACAAATGTGTGGGCATTACAGGCAGCAGAAACATATATAACAGGTTAAGCTGCAAAGCGGATCCCAACCATTGTTTTAGCACATTTCAGATTAGGCAACCTGGTAACTTAAATAATTCCCCAGAGCCTCAGTACTTGTGCAATCCAAACACAGATGTTACCTAACTAAAATCTCGTTCACACAAGTTTAAGTTAATTCATGACTTTAACCAAATAAAACTTCACTTTCATTTTCTCAGAAAACAAACAGACCCAGTTGATTAAACACACTAATAATCATACCCATATTTCAAAACTCAAAATTTTCTTCAAAATATCACCACAAAAAGAAATACCTTTTCAAGCTGGTTCATGAGAGAGATAAGGAGAGAATTGGTGGTATTGGTCGCTCGTTCTGAGGAATCCTCAACCCTCTTTCCACGCATATAATCGACCTAAAAAAAAACAATAAACACCCCCAAAACGAATCGTAACAGAGATCAAGCAAACATTAACAGAGAACCTAGGGTTACAAATATTACATAAGGAACAGAAAAAAAAAAAAAAAAAAAACTTGGAGGAACTTACAATAGTAAGCAACGAGAGGCTCGTGTTTTTGTAACTCATCAGCTCGTTGTAGGTAAGGTAACAGAAGCTTCGCTGGCTCGGTTTCGTTCGCCATGGCTAAGCTTGAGCTTTGCTCTGTATAGCGTTTGATGAAAGACAGAGACACGAAGTTGGGTTTGCGTATTGAGTTTTGGGTTGAAGTTTAAACTCTGGAAGATATCTGAAAACGACGCCGTTTTTATCAGGGAATATATAATAATCTTTTTCTTAGGTGCGAAGCTTTGAATTTTTATTTTTATTTATTATTTTCTTAAACAAAATTCTCCTGTATTTTCTTTTTAGTTGCTGTATGATATAATTTATTAAATTTTCACGTCACTTAACAATAGTGATGGTATATCTACATTAATTTTAATGCAATAATCAAATTGGTATGTGTTGTTGAGTTCCAAACCCAACAGAGTTATTGATTTAGACCCTAAACTTAAAGAGATTCAGGACCCTTAGCGTGAATCAACTCGATAAAATTAACATTTAACTTAACCCAAAATCTAATTTTCATTTTTATTGCCAACATTGCTGAAATGGGGTTGACACATTCTTCCTACTAGTGTTTTAAAACCCGACCCAACCCGGCCGATTCAGGACCTAGGGGTTGGGGCCTTCATCAGGTTGGATTAGCAATTTTCCTATTCATTGAAAACTCTAGAAATTGGAACGATGATCGATGAACAATTGAAGGCCGAGATGTTGGGGTTATTGAAGAGGAAGGGTCGATGAGTACAATGGTGACGACGAAGGTGATTTCCGATGAATGAATCAACCAGAAATCGTAAAACTAAATCGATGACAACAACCGAGGCAATCAAGGGAGGGATGATATGAGTTTCGGTCAAGGGCCTGGAGGGAATGCTTTCGTGGTAGAGGACAATATTCTGAAAATCAGACCAGACCGACCAGTTAGACCGGTTCGATCGGGTTTCGTTCAAGACTTCAATTCATTAATACAATAAATTAGATTTATTATTTAGATCATTTTAAACCGCTATTGGACCGGTGGAACAATGTCGGACCAATGGTCCAACCGACCCAACAACAAATCCTGTCCACTAAATCAAAATCCCTAAAACCATTTTACCCCATCTCTCATTCTTCATTCGGCATTTTCAACTTCAAAATAGCAAGATATTATGCTTGAAAATCTAATCTGTAAAGAAGAAAGAGAAGAGGACGGGGAGCGTGAGAGAAGAAAAAAACATGAAGGAGAAGATGCGCGGAGGGAGAAAAAAAAAAAAAAAAGGTGATAGGTGAGAAAAGAGATATATATATATAAGTGCTGACATCACTTGTCTGACCAGTCGATAAAACCGGTTGAGCTGTTCAAACTGAAAATCTAGCCTAATCACCTTCTGGTCCAGAGTTCAAAACATTAGTGGAGGAAAGTGATGTCGTCGCTGGAAACAAGCTATATTTGCCCTAGTTTGTTGATGCAGACGATGGTAATTGGGATGCTTTTGTAAGATTTTAAACTTATAGAAACTTACATATAATTTTCAAGAGTTTTTATTATTTCAAACTTTTGGACAATATTTGACCCACCAGTCAACGAGACCTGACCACTTCACCGGTTTCACCCCGGGTGGATTATTAAAACACTGCATGCTACTGTATAATGTAATGTGATAAAAAAACAAAAGGTCTATTTAATTCATTATTTTAATAGTTTTTAGAATAATATTTTAAAAAAAATTAATTTAAATAGGTATTAAATTTAAAAATTAACAAAAATATCTGTTATGTTTATTTATTTACTAAACACCCGTATAATAAAATATTAAAAATTAATAAAAATACATCCAATCCACCCATTAAATACGGATAATCTGCCATCACCGTCGGAGGATGACCACAGTATTTTTATAATTTCTAAAAAAAATATTTAAAGTTGTTTAATTAAATTAACAAATTTAAAAAGTTTAAAAAAAATTAAAAAATATAAAATAATATTTTGAAGATAATGATATTTTATATTTAACTTTTTTTAGAAATATTAATAATAATATTTTCAAAGGCAAAACAAACAAAGACAAAATGTTTAAATGTCCGTACAACCAATCAAGTAGGAGACATAGCATCGCATATGTAACATACACTTACCCTATAATTGGTTGGTTATATCATACATTCATTGACCGGAAGACTCTTTCTATGTAAGCAAATAAAGAAAAAGTACGATTTAAAACAGATAGGAAAAGATGTATAACATGTAACATACACAGCTAAAAACAGCTTACTCTCCAGTCACTTCTCAGTTTCTTTGGGTTCTCTATCCCTACAACAGACCTGGTAATAACAATAGTAATATCACAACGGGTGTAAACCTACACATGTCTCCTCTTTTATTGTCATGGTGAAGCCGGAACAGGGTCGGTACCCGAAACATGGGAGGCGGCATCCTCTTTTGATATGGCAACATAGTTAACAGGGGCGGCTGGCCGGTTTGTGCTATCCCTCCTTCCATCTTTAGATATGGACCTGCTGCCATTTGCATTGAGAGATAGCCGTCTGCCTGGAGTTCCGTTGGCACCCCCGTTTGGGCGTGGACCTACAACCTTCTTTGTACTGGCTGGGCGGGCAGGGCTAGGTCTTGAACCAAAAATGGCTTCTTGTTCAGTGTTTTGCTGCTCATGGTACTTCTTTTGATCCTGTAAAGCCGACAAAGTTATAATCCCATTAAGCACTAAAAAGTTCAGGATGGTAATATCATATGTAGGTGCTGGAAATGAAAGATCAGCCAGCCAAATGCTAATAAAAATTGAGGCCATTGAAGACTAGTTTGGTTATTTTAGGCACATGATTTTACCCCAATAAATCAATAAAACTTACCCTCATCCGCCGCTTTTCTTCTTCTCTTTCCTGCCTGAGCATAGCATATTCATCTAGCATTGCAAGTAGAGGGACACCATCATAAGTGAATGATATGCCACGGTCTTCTTCCCAAGCCCGAGTTTTAGCAACTAAGGTGTCGACCAGAGCTAGATGACCAAGGAACCCAATTAGTACAAAGAGCTAATAAACCAGAGCACACATGCACGTAAAGCTGCACATACATGGCTGTGATTTTCTGTGGAGCCAAATTATTTTGAGTTTCAATATGCGATTTTGAAAGGCTCCAAACGGTATAAACAGCACTACTGACTACCCAAGGCAATTTGCAAAATTCAACTTGACCCATGTATACATTTTAGTCGAGTGCATTATCTCCTTTAAAGTTAATCTAGGTTCCGTAAACAAAACAAGGAGATTTTTGCAGGTTAAGAAGTTCATTCGTGGTCTATATTAAGATCTCTCTCATGAGCAAACACTATTCAAATTTCTATAAACATAAAGATGTCCTCTGATTCTATGCATACCTGGAATCTTGTTTACCAGAATTCGGGCTTTTTCTGCTCGCTTGAGATTCAAATGTGCACCTCTGCTTGCATTGTACCTATTTTCATCCTGTTTCAGTAAGGCAATGTCAGTTCAAGAAATTCAAAATCAGCTGTGAACTAAATGAGCTCAAAATGTATAACATAGAAGTGAAGCCCCACTCAACCATATCTTCTATTATCCAATTTACAGTGCAGTGAGACAAAAATACTATTTGGTGGTCTAAAGTCATCATAAGATGATCATCTACCTAACAAGTCACAGGGGATAATGATTATAATAGTACCCGATTGTAGTCTTCAAGCCAACTCTCTTCTTCACAGGCTGACATCCATTTCTCAACCTTGTCCAAGATGTCTTTTCTGCTGAGTGCTTCCTCTTTGGCTTTTGCTATCTGAGCATCCATGTCAGCTAGTAACTCAGCAGGCTCAACATCCCCAGAATCAATCAGTGTCATAATTTTTTCTCTAGCAGCCACTGGATCTATTTCTATATGAGCATGAACATATATTTCTTCAAGCTCAGCTTGCTTTTTAAAGGCAATTTCCTTCATTCTGCTGGATTTAAGTTGATCAAGCCTTTCAACTTCTACTTCAGCCTTATTAAGAAATAACAAGAAAATGAGTAAACAGCAGAAAAAATGCATTCAAAACATGGTTTTGTACACTTAGTTAAATTTGAATACCTGCTCGATCAGATCTAGAGCAAGAGCACCAGGAACAGTCACTTCATCGACAGAAGCTGATATGTTACAAGTAACATGGTCAAACAATTTCCTTTCTTCATCAGGGGTATCCATTAGGTTCCATAGATCAATTAGCTGAGTAGCTAATTCTTGAAGCTGTAACAGGGATTATCAAAGACTTAATATAACATACTGGAAAAGACAACATTGATAAACAATAATTAATGTGGCAAAATGTTTCAAACTTTAAAAGGAAATGTGGTTTTTTATATCCTCTAACATAAATCAGAATAAGCTGAGAGGCAGAGCATTAATGGTCAATTTGCCGACTTCCACAAGCACATATGTCTATATCCGACAGTTACAGTATCAGAGCATAAAACAAACTGAGATAAGATGACCAGGCCCCAAGAACGAAAGCAATTAAAAGTTTACCTTATGAAGCCTCTGCTTCTTATCTTCTTTCAGTGCTAAGACTGTCTTAGCCAACCGAGATAGGGTGTCATTGCTAATGCTTTTGGATTGCACACCAGTAGAGTCATTTAAGCTAGGATGAACTTCAGTGACAGTACTGAAGAAGTCCATGCCAAGGACAGCACAGAGATCGTGCACAGTGCTAACAAATTCAAGGACCTTGTGCAGCCTATCACTCTGCAAGTAGAAGTAAGCAATTAGCTATTATAATTCCATAAATGTAAAACAAAAATCAATTCACTGCTAACAAGAGTAAAAAAAAAAATTACCTTCTCTTTTTGAAGTTCATGGAGCTGAGCTTGATATTCATCTAACTTCTTCAAGGTTAGGTCAGCCTCATCAACTGCTGGAGCCTCCTCACTGAGGCTCAAGTTCCCAGCGATTTCTCCACATATCTTTTCAATTTGTGATTGTATGTCTGAGAACTCCTTTACTCTCTCCTCTTTCTGTTTCCACAGCTGTTCAAGTACTGGTGCTATTGCTGCAAGTTGCTCCTTGATTGTTCCTGAAGTCTTTTCAGGCTGTAATTAGAATCAGAGAAATCCATGAGTAAACTAGATAACCATATCCTGAAACATAGTAGTCCCCACTTCTCAAAAACTTCAACCACCAAATATCTAAGACCTAAAAGAATAATTACTTACAACTCCAACGAAGCTTTTTTCTCCAAGAGCTGATAGAAGACTCGAAAGTTCAACTTTGGCATCTGACAAGGCCTGAAGAAGTTGTGCTCTCGACTTTGCTGCCAGCTCCACCTTCCTCTTGTACACATCCAAGCACTCCCTCTCTATCTGAAGAAGCATCTTGTCCCGTTCCTCATCAGTTTCACCAACTTCATCCCAGATTTCCTAAAGCAAATCTTGGATCAGTTTACAGATTTCCTTCATGACATACTTATAAACAATGAGCAAACACTAAAATCAGAATATAACTTACCTGCAGTTTCTGTAGTAAAGAACTGCAAGTGGTTTCTCCAAGAAGAGGGTTTTCAGTATCTGTCACGGCCATTCACGATGCCACTACAACCTGCCCTGTATCACAACGTATTCAATGACAATCTTTATCTTTGCGTTGGGACAAAAAAATAGTCTAAGAAAGTACAGATAAACAGGAACAGCAGGGAATGCAAATAAAATCCAGATACCTTATTGACCAGCAAGAAACAGCAGTTTACCAGACAAGGTAAACATACAAACCTGTCAGAATAGTCATAGATAAAGAAATACAACTAGTCAGTTGAAGGTTTGAGAATTAGGATATTAGAGAACATTACAATAAATGGATTCCATGGAAAAAACTTCAATTGTACAGGTCAAACAGGATTTTGGCACACAAATGGGATTCTGATATCAAGATCTCACCAACCATACCACATTATTTCGACAGAACACACATGAAATCATTGATAATAACTACTTGTCAAACAGCTTAAACTCATATGCTATTTGATTCAAAGGAAGTTTGAGAAAAGAAACGAGTTAGAACCTTGGACAGCTTAACTTGTGGACAAGGAGACAAGTAGGGCACTTTCTAGTTAAGCTCAAAGCAAGCATTGGCTGAATTGCATGAAATTTACCATACAAACTACCAAAATAGCATAAAACAGAATTAACACAGTCTAAGATTGTTCTCTCGTCCCATATTTCTCAGTAACCAAACAAGATGTTGATTCATATGGCACAAACTCATGCTTTGTTGCCCACGTTTTAAAGAAACCAAGCGAAACTAGCTTCCTTCAGTAAAACCAAACACCAAAAGATCAACCCAATCACTCATCAGCAATCAGGCTCTTAAACCATTAAAACCTTGCATACAGAACAAGGTCACTAATTTCACTCAAAGCCGCAAAACTCAACTTCTTCTTTTACCCACATTTTCAGAGCAATCAAAACAAACCCCACTTAAATAACTGAACCCAAAAAACCAATCATTAGATAAACACCAATCATTAAACGAAGAGCATCACAACCAAGATCCCAACTTCAAAAACAGTAAACAAAACCCTCAATCCCACTCTCATAAAAATCAAACAAAATTCACCTAACATCACAGTACACATTTCACATCATTAAAGAACCCTCATTTCCAACACAAAATGCACCAAACTCAGAAACCCACATCAGCAATATCACATAAACAAGAAAAACAACTTCAAGAAACACATACAGATCTCTTTCACTGCCAAAACAAGAACAACATCGAGAAGCAAGAACAGGCACATTACGTTAACAATCAAAACAAACAAAACAACAACAACAGAAACTGAAACTGAAACTGAAACAAATGCTTACAAAGATCAGAACTTGGAGCTGAAGCTTCTCTCTCTGTGAGGTTTCAGATCTAAAGTTTATATCTTTCTTTTTTTTTTCTTGTTTTGGTTTCAGTGTTTAGTGTGCAGAGGGGGAGAGAGAGAGAGAGAGAGAGAGAGAGAGAGAGAGAGGGAGTGAAGTTAACACTTAACAAAAGGACAAGACAGAGAAAGAGATACAGAGAGAAATGGTAAGTGGGGTCCTTTATAGCTGATTGTCCTGAAGAATTTTCTTTGTTATTTGCCCTTGGTTTTTGGAATGAATTACAAGAGTGACACTGTAAGTGAAATCTTGATTTACCATTTTGCCCCTGTTTGCTGAGTCATTAGGGCTGGTTTGACTATTTCATGGTGGAATGAAGTTTGATGATTACTCACTCAATTCTCCAAAAACAGAAATTGAGTTATAAATGTTAATTGAGATATTAAAAATTATTTTTAATAATAATTTTTTAATTAAATCATTTTGTGGGGTAACTTTAACATTGGATAACCAACTGAATTCTGATTTAAGTAAACATAAAAATGACCACAGAATGGTTCAAAGTACATTAAATGTATATCCATCCATACAATTAATGAGGTTGCAAAGATTGGTTAAAAAAAATATATATATTTTAGTTGGAAAGAGTTATTTAAGTGGATTTTTAATACCTTCTTCATTTTTGAGAGCATATTTTATATAAATAAAGAATATTTTTATTAATTTTTAAATATAAAGAACAAAATTTTTATTCAAATTCAATAAACTCTTTGAATTTTAAGAGAGATAATATGTTTTTTCAATAAAGAAATTTAATAGGAAAAATAAATCATAAATAAAATACATAAAAACTTACAATTTATTTTTTAAAATTAGGATAGAGAGTGAAATTTGACTCTATAAATGTGAAGAGTCAAATTCACTCTTTAATTTATATTTAAAGAATAAAGAGTCTGTTAAACTCTTGTTTCTATAGATAAACTCGTTATAATAAAGAGTTTAAGTTATATAAAGAATCTTTTGGAGATGCTCTTACCATACATATTTTATAGGATCTCTAAATTTTGCTTTAAAACTTGAAAAGTATAATCCCGTCTAATTCTAAAGTTTTATAAAATTAAGAAATAATGATCTTTAAAGATATAGGTGACAATGAGGGGATTTAAAGTTTAGACCCTGTAAAAACTAGAGATGGCAATGGACTCGGTATTTTCGGGTACCCAGTTTGGTCCAGTCCTAAAAAGTCGGGTTTTACCCGGTGTTAGCAGACTTGGGCTTGGGCTTGGGACTGATTTTAAGGCCCACCCTCGGGTATAGGCCGGGCATGGGTATGTCTTCAGTCCCGGCCCGACCGGACCTAACAATTTTATAATTAATTTTACTAAATTACCCTTATACTATATATCTAATTACAGAATTATCCTACATATATATAAAAAAAATGAAATTTATTAATATATGGTAAGTATTCAAAAATAAATTAATATTTAAAAACCATTTCTAAAATTAAAAATATAAAAAAAATTTGAAATTTATTAATATTTAAAAATTTACATTATAAAAATAGGCAGGCTTGGGCAAGGAGTGAGATTACAAAAAGTCTGTCGGACCGAGCTTGGGCTTTACTCATCATCCCCGTGACGAGCCCGACTGAGCCTTTGTCATAGAGTCAGGCTTGGGCCCCAGCCAAGGGGTTAGGGTCTCGGTTCGACCCATTGTCATCTCTAGTAAAAATAGACCACAAGCTGAAATATGAGTTAGTCAAACATGAAATAATGGAGAATATAGGAGTAGTTCAACAAACTTTCAATAGAGAAGAGATTTTGACTAATAAAATGGACTAGTCAAAGAAGCTATCTTCATGTGAGATCATTCCCACAATTAGTCTTGGAATTGTATTAATTTGATGTTTTNTTATTTGCCCTTGGTTTTTGGAATGAATTACAAGAGTGACACTGTAAGTGAAATCTTGATTTACCATTTTGCCCCTGTTTGCTGACTCATTGGGGCTGGTTTGACTGTTTCATGGTGGAATGAAGTTTGATGATTACTCACTCAATTCTCCAAAAACAGAAATTGAGTTATAAATGTTAATTGAGATATTAAAAATATTTTTAATAATAATTTTTTAATTAAATCATTTTGTGGGGCAACTTTAACATTGGATAACCAACTAAAATTCTGATTTAAGTAAACACAAAAATTACCACAGAATGGTTCAAAGTACATTAAATGTGTACCATCCATACAATTAATGAGGTTGCAAAAATTGGTAAAAAAAAAAAATTTAGTTGGAAAGAGTTATTTAATTTCATTTTCAACTTTTCCATCGGCATCGCTAATAGTGTTCTTTATTTTAAAGAGTATATTTTATATAAATAAAAAGTATTTTTATTAATTTTTAAATATAAAAAATATAATTTTTATTCAAATTCAATAGACTCTTTAAATTTTAAGAGAAATAATATGTTTTTTTAAGAAAGAAATTTAATAAGGAAGATAAATTATAAATAAAATGCATAAAAACTTACAATTTATTTTTTAAAATTATGATAGAGAGCGAAATTTATCTCTCTAAATGTAGAGAATCAAACTCACTCTTTAATTTATATTTAAAGAATAAAGAGTCTATTAGACTCTTGTTTCTATGGATAAACTCTTTACAATAAAGAGTTTATGTCATATAAAAAGTCATTTAGAGATGCTCTTACCATACATATTTTATAAGATCTCTAAATTTTGCTTTAAAACTCGAAAATTATAGTCCCGTCAAATTCTAAAGTTTTATAAAATTAAGAAGTAATGATCTTTAACGATATAGGTGACCATGAGGGGATTTAAAGTTTAGATCCTGTAAAAACTAAAGATGGCAATGGACTCGGTATTTTCGGGTACCCGGTCCGGTCCAGTCCTAAAAAGTCAGGTTTTACCTAGTGTTAGTGGACTTGGGCTTGGGCTTGGGACTGATTTTAAAGCCCACCCTTGGGTATAGGCCGAGTATGGGTATGTCTTCAGTCCTGGCCTGACCGGACCTAACAATTGTATAATTAATTTTACTAAATTACCCTTATACTATATATCTAATTACAGAATTATCCTACATATATATAAAAAAAATGAAATTTATTAATATATGGTAAGTATTCAAAAATAAATTAATATTTAAAAACCATTTCTAAAATTAAAAATATAAAAAAAATTTGAAATTTATTAATATTTAAAAATTTACATTATAAAAATAGGCAGGCTTGGGCAAGGAGTGAGATTACAAAAAGTCTGTCGGACCGAGCTTGGGCTTTACTCATCATCCCCGTGACGAGCCCGACTGAGCCTTTGTCATAGAGTCAGGCTTGGGCCCCAGCCAAGGGGTTAGGGTCTCGGTTCGACCCATTGTCATCTCTAGTAAAAATAGACCACAAGCTGAAATATGGGTCAGTCAACATGAAATAATGGAGAATATAGGAGTAGTTCAACAAACTTTCAATAGAGAATAGATTTTGACTAACAAAATGGAGTAGTCAAAGAAGCTATCTTCATGTGAGATCATTCCCACAATTAGTCTTGGAATTGTATTAATTTGATGTTTTATTCAATGTTTTCAAAACAATTTAAAGTATTTTATAAACAAGTACTTAAAAAAAAAAAAAAAAAAAAAGAGCAAAGGGACAATTTTGTGGTAAGGTTTTCAAAGAGGGGCATACATAATAATAAATAATGACCCAAAAAAAGGGTCACAAGAAAGCTAAAATGTTGTCATGAACAAAGCAAACAAAAGGGGTTTGGTCATTGCTTGTTAGTTGTCATCAAGAATCAAATATAGGGATCATTGTCTTACTCTTAATGCAATATGCAAAAAAAATATATAAATACATCATCACCATGCAAAGTCATGACACTTGATGAAACAAAAGTTCACCAAACTTAGATTTTAGGTATTAAAAAAGCACTTATTCATTGATTGCTAGTTGAAAAGCACTTATTAATATGTTACTTTTTAGATTTGCCCATCTAAAGATTTTGGTTCATAGATTATATTTGCTTCTTTGGTCACCACCATTACCCTACATTGTATATGTATCCATATCTCAAACCATGGCTTATTTTAATTCACATAAAATGTTATTATGGTAAAGTTGGAAGAAATTCGATGATTTTTCAAGTAATGTTAGGGGAAATGCAACATTAAATGTAGAATCAATGATTTGAACGATACATTTCTAGGGTTTTTTTAAGTAGGTGAAACCCAGAATTAGAGGAAACAAAATTATTTTTAAACTAAGGGGAAATATATCAAAATTTTGATGAATAGACAAACTTAAAGGTGTCTTATTATTATTATTATTTTATAACAAATGATTTCATTCTAAAAAATGTTTATTATCTAATATTGTTTTTCATCTATCTATACTTTGTAGATTAATATTCAAAAGATATAGTTTCAAAATGCAATGAAATTATCCATTCATGGGTATCCCAATGGTAAAGGTGAACTACGGGGGTTGTGTATAGCTTTAATTTATAGTCTCATATTCGATTTCTCGTTGGACACAAAGATAATATATTTGTCCATAATTTACCTAGGGGTTGCGACAATGAGGTGTTGAGAGATAGCTACCCCTGAGGATTGGTCGAGACCGAAATAAAAAGAGACTCTAATATAATATAAGTTATTATGGTGTCAAAAGAAACAATTGGGGGTCAAAATGTAGTTAAAAAATATATCATATAAATACTTTATTGTTTCCTTAAAAACAATTTATGGGATCAATGTACCTTTCAATAGTGTCAATATGTCTTTATCTATAAGGCTAGATATAATAAGATATAGACTCAAATGTTATATAACTCATAACAATTATATAATTTTAAATTTTTGTCTCTTATTAAATTTAAAGACAATGACACCTTATAGTAAAATAAAAATTCACTATTTTATATTAAAGCAATAATATTATACATTCTTGATAGGTTTAGTTAGAAGTAGAATGTTTAGTGATGTGATGTGAATCTTATCCCTAGAAAAGGATAGTGCCCTAGTTAGTGGGTCACTTGATTGAAATGGGATTATCAATTTACTATGAATATTGGTCAATTGATTAATTTAATCAAAACAATAGTGACCCAATTGAAAACTTTCACTAAAAATTTAATTGAATGTTTGGTTGATAGAAGAGAGAGATGATAATTGATATAATATCATATATATATATATATATATAATGAAATAGCACAAAAATCATAACCCAAATGACCAATGGGAACCACTTTGTAGGGCTTGCTTCATGTGGGAAGACAGAGAATGTATGGAATTTGTTTGGGTGCATTGAACAAGCCAAGAATCCTTCACATGCATCTTGTCCTTTTATGTTTACTATATTGTTATTGTATTCCAAAGACTATATAAACTTAGGTTAAAATTGAATTTGTGTGATGAATAATTTATTATGTCTTTTAATAACAACAACTATTTTTTACCACCATGATTTCATTCATTAGGCATCAACAAACATCTAGTATATATTTATATCGTATAATATCGTGCTTTCCTGTCGAATTAGACAATGGATATTGAACATTCCCAACATAAAAACTCACACATATTCTAAATAAAATGGATTGTGCTGATTTAACTTGAATTCTACTTGAAGTTGCTAGTAATATTGGTGATTTTAACCCTAAGGGGTTAGCTTAACGGTCAAAGAGATTTACTAATTTCCTTGAGTTATTGGGTTCAAACCTTAGGGTCATCTATTACAATAATATTATAGTTTACTTGGTTTTTTAGGTTTGTAGGGTATTTAATGGGCCTCAGATATTAGTTGAGGTGTACACAAACTAACCAGGATACCTTGGTTACCAAAATACACACACAGACACACACACACACACACATACATATATATAGGTGATTTTGAATACTATTGTACTTAAAATTCCTAGTAATATTAGACCCGCACAGTATCGATTCCAAATAGGTTCTAATTCTGATTATGATTCTACCCGTCACCTATGATCACCCCCTAATATTGGTGGTTTTAAATACTATTGTACTTTAAATTTGTGTATGCTAAATTTGTACTTCATTAATCTGATGTACCACACCAATTATATGGGCTTTCAAAACTGGGCCCAATCAAAGGCCTTTTTTCCAATGTGTTAGAAAATAGGGAAATTATTTTTAGCCCCCACAGTTTTGTCATTAGCCCATCTTCTTTTTTAAGTAGGGGTAAAATAGTATTAAGATAAATCATTTACTACAAATGGAATTTTGGATGAATAATGGAAGAAGAGTAAAATATTTATTACAAAATATAACCCCAATTAAAATAGGAGATAGGGACTAAAGAGGAAAATGAAGATCACTTCCCTAAAAAATACCCACATGTATTTTCAGATTTTTCAATATACCCACAAGGCAACTAATGAAAGTTCCCATATGGCCTAGATCCCAAGGTATTTTTTAGATCCTAAGTTGTTTTTTATTATTTTTAAAAAAAATCAAGACATCCAAGTCAATTTATACATATCTCAATTAATTCTTCGAAACTCTTAAGTGAACAACCGAATAAATTCTTTTTATAACCACCCTTATTAGTATTTAGGAGAACTCGAATTCAGAAAACCATATTAGATCTCTTTGCTCATTTACTATCAAGCCAAACCACTCAATGATGGTTCAAATCTCAAGTTCAAGCTTATAAAATATTCTTCATTTTTGGCTCTTTAATACTCATTATAACAACTAATATGATTCATGTTTTTAAATGTATATATGTACATAGCTTACACTAAAAAAGTGAAGAAGTTTTAATTATATGTAAAAATGTTTTTAATTATCATAAATGATTTTTGAGGCAACTGTACTACAATGCTTTTACAGCAATTCTGTACAAGAAACTAGTGTTTTACAATACCAAACTCAAAAGAGACAAAATTCCACTGCAATGCCGGTAACCTTTAAAACATGCAAAACTCTCTTCGATCATCTGGTGATGTACTGAATTTCTGCATGTTCTCTCAACCATTCAAGAACTTTAGCTCCCTCAAGAATGTCTTGCACCTACACAAATTCCAGGAACGAGACTACCCATATCAGTACTTGATGGACATTATGCTGTTAGCATCATGAACCAATAATATATGATGTAGAAGGTAATGTTGTGTGAGGAAAGTACACTAACCTGGTCTCTTACACGATCCTCGTCGTATTCTTGTTTATTACGTTTGAGTTCAGCAATGGAGTTCTCGACCTGTTTGACTAATTCCTCGGTTGGAAACTGTAGTGAAGTCCAACACATTTACTTTTTAGATATCGTATAATTAATAAAGAGTTAATATTATGATGATGGTCTAATCGGCTAGAGTTAGTGCTAGTTACTTCTGAAGTTTGTGAGATATATACCTGCAAGTTTTCACGTTTGAAGATATCTCCAACAGCTAGATTTTGTTTTATCACATTGATAATGTTCTCCCTCTGGTCTTCCAGATACGCGTTTACTGCTTTTGGACTTGATAGAGTAGCTAACTGCTCATCATTCAATTTCATATTTGCCTGCACCAACAAAACACTGGAATTAGAATTGGTACATCAGCACGTGAGAGAGATTCTTAAAACCTTAATCATGAGATAAATGCTTAAGTTTCATGATCTTAAAACGACAAAACGGGTTTCCTTAACAGAAAACAGGGAGTACTGACCTGTATCTGCAAAAGTTTGGCTCCATAAAGCTGCCTACCTTGTTCCTCGAACAAGGATTGAGGAATATCAATTTCCACCATCTAAAATAGCACATATTATGATACAGTAAGGAAATTATTCTTACAAAGCATCAGTACATTTCCTTTACCACTATATCCAAATAGAAATAGCATCACGTTACAGTACATAAAGGACAATAGTGTATTGTTTTTCTCCATTCCGCCTTGTCAGTAAGACAATATCATATATGGCTATCACATTAATTAGAAAGCAAGAACATTGATTACCCATGCAAAGAAAATGTCCTATTAGGAAAGCACCAATGAGTAACTTCAAGAAAAGAATCTAATATAATGTTGCTATTTCAATAAAAGAAACAACCTTGCGAAGCTGATCTAGAATTGCATTATCTGTCGCCTGTTCTCTAGCAGTTTGCTCTACTTCTTGACACTTTTGCAACAATGTTTCCTTGACCTGCATTCATGCAGCAGAAAACTCATCACACGGTTGAAGTACAAATACTTTTTTCAGACCAAAACTGTTTTGATAGTTTAGAACCATTTACCTGCGCTAAAGTAGTGCATCCGGGAACTAGCTTATCAGCAATTGAGTCATCCATTTCCGGTAACTCTCTATAAAACAGCTCTTTGCACACAACCTAAAATCGAAATGACATACAAAAAATGAAGAAAGAAAGTTTCATTGCAATGGTCCATTAATGCAAATATTTTAAGTCCATGGAACCGTCAAAAGATACACACTGACGTATTTTCAAATGGATTTCCCTATTTTGAAGATGTAAACACTAACAAGAAGGAGAACTCACAATGGCATTACATATGATCTAGAAAATCTTCCTTCAACTTCTCTTATCTTATTATTAATGGAAAACTTTAAGATAACAATTAAAAGTCGAAGTAAATTTCCTAAAACAGGAGACTCACAGTAAATTGAGCATTAACACCACGAAGATTTTCTTGTCTCCATGATTCGGGAAATGCCAGAGGAAAGGACCTTGTTTCACCTCCTCGCATTCCCACAATTGAATCTAGAAAACCAGGAAGATATTTATCCCCATCTTCTGTATCAAAATGAAAATCTGCACAAAGAGGCAATGAAGTAGCAGTTACTTGATAGTGAATTAGGTCTAATAGCAAAGATACGGTCTTCAATACATGGAGATGTGTGAGATAACCTAAATGTAGGTCAAGAAGGTGTTGAGCTTGAAGAAAAAAAAAATTCTTGGGATTAGTTGAGCTTAAAACTACTTCATCAAGATTTTTAACATAAAGTTAGTTAGAAGTACAATGAGTAAAGAGCAATGAGCAAAGTGGTAAAAATATTAACAGTAACTACACAAATTAACCAGGAGAATGGTTGGGTCTAGTATGAACTACTGAAAATATTGACAAAATGATACTCAAGTTTATAATGGCAAACCTTTACTCTCTGTGTCTGGAATCTTTTGAACATTTGATTCATCTTCCTTTATTGTTGTTGCTGATACATCAATGACTGCTACATCACCAATCTGGTGAAAATTTAAGTTCTTTTGACATGCGAACCTCAAGACAATTGTGAGAAAGTATAAATGCAACTATAGTAGTTTGGAATTGTCTAATAGGATCTGAAGAACTATAAAATTGAATTGAATCAATATACGTGAAAGTACTTCTAAATTCAAGATGATGGACAAAGTAGCTTAACTACATATGTTGGAATAAAATCTGCAAATTCAAGCATAAACCATATAGTAAGTTATACCAACAAAGATCATTTTCAAAACCAGAACTGGGATTTATGGATACCTTTTTCTATGCTAAGATCAATAAATTCTGTCTTTATAATTTTCCCCTCAAATAGTACTGAAAACTCTTTTCAATTGGAAACAAGAAAGAAATTGGAATGACATTCGAGATTGCTTCAGCAATGCCAAACTTGATCTCTCACTTAATATAATATAATAGCGAAAGATAAAGATGTGGGAGAAATTTCATATAATATTAACAATTTTAAACATATGCAGAGACACATCCTAACATCTTCATCAAATTTTTTATTTTCACAGAAACAATCCTCCAACAAAATTCTTTTGACCAAAATTTTAAGCCACCACGACTAATAATACAGTTAAATAAATCAACTCTGCTAATCCTTTCACATGAATCACTGCTATCAATCATGTACAGCATAGGATAAATACTTTAAAACAGAAACATACTAAACAAAAGGAGAATTATAGTGGGTTAAAAATCTGTTACCTGAAGTCCTCTATCGGTGACAATTTTCAATGTTCCGATAGACTTGTGACGACGCTTCAATTCTTGTTCAGCAGCTCTTTGAGCATCTATGTCATTGTCTATTTCAACGACTACCTTCAAATTTTTGTATCCATCCTCAGGAATCCATTTGACTTCAGGTACCACATCAACAATGACATCATATCTGGGAAACAGGCCATTATCAACAAGCAGAAACCATGTTATTGCAAGCTGAGACACATGCAGGCTTAAGATATCAAAGATATTGAAAGGTTAAAAAACTGCATTACTGTACCATTAAGATGATAAAAGAATAAGCAAGCAAATAGTGTTAGGATGTAGAAATTTCAAACCTGAGAGAGTTGAGAGAAGAATAGTTCTTCTCCATTTCCGAAAACTTGGTCGCAATGCGCACTGAATCTCTTAAAGCCCTTCCAGTCACCTAAACAATAAAAATTCATTAAGTTACTTATTCTGACAGATGAAATCTCCTGACAGATAAATATATGTCAAAATTGAATACATTTCCATTACAAGTTCAATAATTGGGATTTGTTCCAGTAATATAAGAAATAAAAGCTTCAATTCAACATACCAAAGACATGGCATGAGGAAGGGTCCTCTTTAGAATAGATTCAACTGTAGCCTTTTGAACATTTTGTTTCCCAACATAACTTAAAAGAATACTCTCAGGAACATTCTTTCCAGGACGAAATCCAGGAATCTGCATATACACAACCCAATCTATCAACAATTTACCTTCTGTTTCCCAAGCTAACCACCATCCATATTAAGTGAAAACTGATAAATTAACAAGAAGAACCTTGGCTTGCTTCATAAATTCTCTCATAACCCTTTTGTAACAATCCTCACACACGGCGGGTGGAACTTCCACATTCAATCTTACCTACAGGATACAAAATATACAAGAACAAGAATACAAATCAAATGATACTATTACATAGAGAAATAAAAAGAGGCAGATAAGAAAGACCAAAACCATTAATATTTCATAGAAAACTTATAAGAGTACTGACCAGTAACTACCAATCATATTATCACACATAATTTAAAAGTTTAAACCCACAAAATATAAAAAATACCCAGATATCCAGACTAGTAAAACTTCAAATTCATCGTGAAAATATTACTAAAGAAATGCGAATAAACTCAAGAACAAAATACTAAAGAAACGAAAAAAACTCACTCTTGAATTGGGTTCTTCAGTCTCGGTGACTTGAATATCAGCTGGAAGCTTATCCATCTCGGTTCCAAGAGCCACTGAAGAAGCCGCCGAAGCCGAGACACGACATGAGTTTCGATGGAATTGAGGTTGAATTTGGCGGGAGAAAGATGAGAATTTGAGAGAAGTCAAGGAGGTTTTTTGGTTCTTGAAGTGAAGAGTTGAGTTCTTGAGAGGGACATAAACTGAACCATAAGCTCTGCCGACAGGGAGCAATTTTGTTGAACTGGTGGTGATGCAAAGCTCCATTTTTGTCCTGTGTTAGAAGGCTTCAGAGTTGGTTGAAGATAAAGAGTGTCGAGACGTTAAAATGATATTTTTTCCACCGTTGAAACGCTGCGTTTAACCTTTATTTATTTATTTTTTATTTTAGATTTACATGCGAGTTTTCCCATGAAGACCGATATCTTACGAACTAACGTGAAGACCGATCCGGAGTCTGCACTGATTTGGATTTTGTAAAGTCAAAGCCATTGTCAAAGTCTTCCTCGTTTGGGCTATATTTGTCTTGCCATCAGTTTCAATGAAATGTACACTGTACACGCCGCGAAGCTAGGGAGCTAGCCCACTTCCCACGGCAGTTCAGCTAATTATAAAGCTAAACCCAGAGCACTTCTTCATCAATGGCGATCATGTCTACTAAATTCTATCTCCCATTTCTTCTCCGTCTACTCTTACTTCAGTTTTCTTCATTAATCCAAGGCCAGCAGCCATACTTAAACAACTATCAACTTGACTGCTATGACGAGTCCCATGTTAACATAACAAGAGGTTTCGCCTGCAATGGAGTTAAACCCTCATGCCAATCTTATCTCACCTTCAGATCACTCCCTCCCTACAACACTCCTCTCTCCATAGCTTATTTGTTAGCTGTCAAAGCCGCCGTCATTACCAACTTTAACGAGCTTTCCTCTGACGTCGCCACCATTCCTACCAACGATATGGTGGTGGTGCCGGTGAAATGTTCTTGTTCTTCATCTAAAATTTACGCCCACACCGCACGTTACACGATTCTCAACGACAACGAAGACTATTACACCATTGCTAATGAAACCTACCAGGGGCTCTCCACTTGCCGAGCCATGATGCAGGCGAATCCTATAGATTCCAGGAACCTGGGCGTGGGTGACGACTTGAAGGTACCGCTTCTATGTGCTTGTCCAACGAGGAAACAGGTGCGAAAGGGTGTGAAGTTTTTGTTGAACTACTTGGCGGATTGGGATGACGATACTCATACAATTGCTGAGCTTTTTGACTTGGATGAGCGGAGTGTTCTTGATGCAAATGAGTTGAAGGAAGATGACCTTATTTATCCATTCACCCCAATTTTAGTTCCACTCAGAACTACCCCCACCAAGATTGAGCAAACTGTGACGTCTCCTCCTCCTCTAAGTCCTCCGCAGACACCGGTTAACATTTTTGTTGATTCCGCCCCTTCTTCTAAGAAATGGGTGTTTGTTGGTGTTGGAACTGGAGTTGGTTTGTTGCTGCTAATGATCCTTTTGACATCTCTATTTTGCTTCTATAAGAAGTCTAAGTCTGAATCCAGACGAGTTTCGAGTGCAGAAACTGCTAGGCTTGCTGATTGCTCACCAGAATCACAAAGATATCAAAGTGCTGCTGAATCTTTGACCATCTACAAGTTTGAAGATTTGCAATTGGCTACCGGCAATTTCTCTGAAGAAAATAGGATTAAGGGCTCTGTTTACAAGGGATCTTTCCAGGGTGATGATGCTGCCATTAAGGTTATGAATGGAGATGTCTCAATCGAGATAAACATATTGAAGAAGATCAACCACAGCAACATAATTCGTCTCTCAGGTTTCTGTGTACATGATGGCAACACTTTCCTTGTTTACGAGTGCGCACAAAATGGTTCTCTAGACAATTGGCTCTACTCCAACCAGTACTGGAAATCCATTACTCTAAACTGGAAGCAACGAGTTCAGATTGCCTATGACATGGCTAATGCTCTCAATTATCTGCACAAATACACCATTCCACCTTATATTCACAAGAACTTGAACACCAGTAACATTCTTTTGGATTCAAACTTCAGAGCCAAGATTGCGAATTTCGGATTAGCAAGAAGTATTCACAGCCATGACCATGGAGGACAACTACAATTGACAAGGCATGTGGTTGGAACTCATGGTTATCTGGCTCCGGAGTACATAGAAAATGGAGTGATCACCACAAAACTAGATGTTTTCGCCTTCGGGGTTGTGTTGTTGGAGCTTTTATCAGGAAGGGAAGCTGTAACTGAAGACAGAAACAGTGGAGAAGAATTGCTATACGCATCCATTAGTAGGGTGCTTGAAGGAGAAAACATGAGAGAAAAACTTAGAGGCTTCATTGATCCTTGTTTGAGAAATGAATACCCTTTAGAGTTGGCCTTCTCCATAGCTCAACTGGCTAAGCATTGTGTAGCTCAGGATCTCAATGCTCGCCCATCCATGGATGAAGTTTTCACCTCCCTCTCCAAAGTTCTATCATCTTTGTCAGATTGGGATCCATCTGATGAAATAAACTGCTCCAAGTCACCAAGTAATGGCAGGCAAATGGTGTATCATTAATTCATTTTCATTTATGGTTGCTGGTTTTCTTTACTCCAAGAGAAGGGTGGATTACTGAGAATGTTGGATTACTGGAAGCTTATATTACTTTGAAAATTACTGAGAATTTTTAGGAAAATATGTTTGGTTAGTTAGAATAAATAGGTGGGTATGTTATATTAATATGTTTGGTTAAGAGGAATAAATTGGTGGGTACGTTATTTAAATTATCAAATTGCCTTCTTTTTTAATAGTAATATAATATTATTTTTATTATTAATTTTTAAATAATTTTTTTTAACCTCCAATATTTTAAATTTAGCTAAAACACTCCTGCTTATATAAAACTTTAATTTATAATAAAATCACCCCCACCACACTGCCACTGCCTGTCGTCACTGCAAACTACCATCGGAAGTCGCTTGGAGTCACCGTGAGTAACCCACCATGACCGGGAGGCTCCAATATGGCCGTTTATGGTCATAGTGGCCAAGTGATGGCCAAAAATGGTCATATCAAATTAGAGCTAGCCGAAAATGGCCAAATCTATTCTAATCGGAATAGATCTGGCTGTTAATGACCATATCTCATTCAGATATAGCCGCTAAAGGCCAAGGGTCTAGCCTGCTCCTGATATGGCCTTTTCGGCCATATCAGAGCCTCTTGGTTATGGTGGGCTACTCTTGACAACTCCAAGTGACTCCTGGCAACTTCCCATTGCGGTCGGCAATGGTTTGGTTGGTAGCAGGCGACGGCAAGTGGGTGGGGGTGATGGCTTGGGTAAGCTGAAATTTGTTTTGATTTCAAGGGTAATTTTGTCTAAAAAGTTAATTAATTTGGATGAAATGGTAAAAGCAAGATTCATGTAAATAAATTTAAAAACAAGGACATTATTGTCCTAAAATTTTATTAATAATGGATAGAATTGTAACAAAAAAAATTACCTTAGTAATCTTACAATACCTAAGAAAATAAAAGTAATCATATTACCTCCAATATTACTAACAGTAACTACTATTGGTATTTGAAGATTACCAGAATCTTATATTATTTGAAAACCAAACATAATAATAAAGTAATATAAGATGACATAACTCAAGTAATTCCAGATAACCCCCAACCAAACGCCCCGTTAGAGTAATAATAGTATGTATTTGACATTAGTTTTCGGTATGAAATAAATGATTTAATCCCTTTTAATACTTAAAAATAAAATTTCATTTTACTTCTTACTATTCGTTAAAGATTACACTTTAACCCTAAAATCAATTTTCTGGTTTCGCCTATAGACCACGCCGCATTTTGATCGAACAAAAACAAAACACGTCGGTCACATATGAACGCTTTCTCGCAAAGTAACTTGCCTTTCTATTTTCTAACCCGTTTGCTGTGTTATTTTCTGATCCTGTACGCACTGACGTCAAGAATGATCGGAAGACGCGTTGATTTTGATTCAAAGTCTTCATAGTTTGAACCGTTTTTAGTCCCGTAATCAATGAACTTTACACTGTACACGCCATGGATCCCATGGCAGTTCAGCTAATTTATAAAGTTCCTCTTTAACAAAATTGTAAAGCTAAACCCAGAACAGTTCTTCTTCCATGGAATTCATCTCTACCAAATTCTACATCCTGTTTCTTCTCTATCTTTTTTTGTTTCAATCCTTTTCATTAATCCAAGCTCAACAGCCATACGTAAACAACTATCAACTCGACTGCTACGATGAGTCCACTGTTAACCTTACAAGAGNCATCCTACCTCAAGACAAACCCTTGGTCTTGCTGGTTTTCTTTGCTCTTCAGGTTGTGTTTGGTTCAAGGAGCGCTAGATTATTGAGAATGTTGGATTATTAGAATTTTATATTATCTTGAAGATTATTGAAAATCTTTAGGAAAATATGTTTGGTTAGTTGGAATAAATGGATAGGTATGTTATATTAGTATGTTTGGTTATGAGAAATAAATTGGTGGATATGTTATTTAAATTACTAAATTGCTCTTTTTTTAATATTAATACAATATTATTTTTATTATTAATTTTTAAATAATTTCTTTTAGAGAAATATTAGATGTACAAAAGATCTTTGTAAGAGTTTTTGTACAAAGTCATGTGACAGCTGCCACACCACCAATTTCACGTCAATCTTCTCTTTCTTTTCATAATCTGTTGGTGTGGCAGTTGCCACATCACTTTTTAGTCTTTTATACATCTAGCATTTCTCTTTCTTTTAACCTCCAATATTTCAAATGTAGCTAAAATACCCCCACTTATATAAAACTTTAATTTATAACAAAATCACCCTTACCACCCAGCTGTTGCCTGTCACCACCGAAAATCGTCGCTGTAAGTCGTCTAGAGTCGTTGTGAGCAACCCACCGTGATTGGGAGACCCTGATATGGCCGTGTCTGTCCATATTGATGGCCGAAAATGGCCATAATAGATCTAGCCATTAACGGCCATATCTCATTCAGATATGGCCGCTAAAGGCCAACAGTCAGACCCATCAATCTGATCGGAAATGACCATAATAGATCTGACCAGATCTGCTCCCGATATGGCTTTTTCGGCCATCAATATGTTAGAAACAACCATATCGAAGCCTCTTGATGATGGTGGGCTACTCCTGACAACTCCAAGTGACTCTCGGCGACTTCCCGTGGCCAGTAGTGGTTTGGCTGGTGGCAGGCGATGATAGGTGGGTGGGGGTGGTGGCTTGGGTAAGCTGAAATTTGTTTTGATTTCAAAGGTAATTTTGTCCAAAAAATTAATTAATTGAGGTGAAATTGTAAAAACAAGATTCATGTAGATAAATTAAAAAATAAGGGCATTATTGTCCTAAAATTTTATTAATAAGAGATAGAATTGTAACAGAAAAAATTACCTTATTAATCTTACAATACCTAAGAAAATGGAGGTAATTAGATTACATCCAATATTACCAACAATAACTACTATTGGTATTCAAAGATTATTGGATCTTATATTACTTGATAACTAAACGTGATAATTAAGTGATATAAGATGACATAACATCAGTAATCTCACATAACCCCTAACCAAACGTCCCCTCAAAGTAATAATAGTATGTATTTGACATAATTTTGGGTATGAAACAAATGACTTAGCCCCTTTTAAACTTAAAATAAAATTTCATTTTACTCCTTACTGTTCGCTAAAGATTACACTTTAACCCTAAAATCAATTTTCTGGTTTCGCCCATAGGCCACGCCGCATTGTGATCAAACAAAGACAAAAACGTCGGTCACATATGAACGCTTTCTCGCGCAGTAACTTGCCTTTCTATTTTCTAACCCGTTTGCTGTGTTATTTTCTGATCCTGTACGCACTGACGTCAAGAATGATCCGAAGATGCGTTGATTTTGATTCAAAGTCTTCATAGTTTGAACCGTTTTTAGTCCCGCAATCAATGAACTTTACACCGTACATGCCATGGATCCCATGGCAGTTCAGCTAATTTATAAAGTTCCTCTTTGACAAAATTGTAAAGCTAAACCCAGAACATTTCTTCTTCCATGGATTTCATCTCTACCAAATTCTACATCCTGTTTCTTCTCTATCTTTTTTTGTTTCAATCCTTTTCATTAATCCAAGCTCAACAGCCATACGTAAACAACTATCAACTCGACTGCTACGATGAGTCCACTGTTAACCTTACAAGAGGTTTCGTCTGCAATGGAGTTGAATCCTCATGCCAATCTTATCTCACCTTCAGATCAAATCCTCCCTACAACTCACCTCTCTTCATAGCTTATTTGTTAGCTTCCAAGCCCGCCCTCATCACCGCCCTCAACGGGCTCCCCTCCGACATCGCCACCGTGCCCACCAACACCATGGTGGTGGTGCCGGTGAACTGCTCTTGTTCTTCTTTACAACTCTACCAGCACAACGCCGCTTACACGATTCTTGACGACGCCGAGAACTACTACACCATTGCTAATGAAACTTACCAGGGGCTCACCACTTGCCGAGGCATGATGGAAGCGAATTCTATAGATTCCAGGAACCTGAGCGTGCGTGACAACTTGACGGTTCCACTTAGATGTGCTTGTCCGACGAGGAAACAGGTGGCGTCTGGTGTGAAGTTTTTGTTGAACTACTTGGTAACTTGGGGTGATTCCATTTCTCAAATTGCTGAGCTTTTTAATGCGACTAATCGAAGTGTTCTTGATGCTAATATGTTGAAGGAAGAAGACCTTATATATCCCTTCTCCCCAATTTTAGTTCCGCTCATAACCGAGCCCACCAAGATTGATCAAGCTGTGCCATCTCCTCCTCCGGTGAGATCTCCACAGACACCCGTCAACCCTGTTGTTCATTCCACCTCTTCTTCTAAGAAATGGGTGTTTGTGGGCGTTGGAACTGGAGCCGGTCTGTTGTTGTTATTGACCCTTTTGACATCTCTATTTTGTTTCTATAAGAAATCTAAGTCTAAGTCGAAGCTTGTTTCGATTTCAGAACCTATTAAGTCAGATGATTCCTTGGTAGAATCACAAAGGTTTCGAAATGCGGTTGAGTCTTTGAACATCTACAAGTTTGAAGATCTGCAATTTGCTACCAGCAATTTCTCGGAAGAAAATAATATCAAAGGCTCTGTTTACAAGGGATCTTTCAAGGGTGATGATGCTGCCATTAAGGTAATGAAAGGAGATGTCTCAAGCGAGATAAACATATTGAAGAAGATCAATCACAGCAACATAATTCGTCTCTCAGGTTTCTGTGTACACGAGGGCAACACTTACCTTGTCTACGAGTATGCACAAAATGGTTCTCTCAGAGATTGGCTCCATTCCACCAAGCACCAAACTTCCATTACTCTGGAATGGAAGCAACGAGTTCAGATTGCTTATGACATGGCTAATGCCTTCAATTATCTGCACAAATACACCAATCCACCTTACATCCACAAGAACTTGAACACCAGTAACATTCTTTTGGATTCAAACTTCAGAGCCAAGATTGCGAATTTCGGATTAGCACGAAGTATTCACAGCCATGACCAGGGAGGACTACTACAATTAACTAGACACGTGGTTGGAACTCATGGTTATATGGCTCCGGAGTACATAGAAAATGGAGTGATCACCACAAAACTAGATGTTTTCGCCTTCGGGGTCGTGATGTTGGAGCTTTTATCAGGAAGGGAAGCTTTAACTGAAGACAAAAACAAGGAAGAAGAACTGCTATATGCATCCATAAGTAGAGTGCTTGAAGGAGAAAATGTGAGGGAGAAACTCAGAGGATTCATTGATCCTTGTTTGAGAAATGAATACCCTTTAGAATTGGCCTTCTCCATGGCTCAACTGGCTAACCAGTGTGTAGCTCAGGATCTAAATTCTCGCCCATCCATGGCTGAAGTTTTCATGATTCTCTCCAAAGTACTATCATCTTTGTCAGATTGGGATCCATCTGATGAAATTGATCGCTCCAAGTCACTAAGCCGTAGCAGCCAAATGGGGTAACATGAATTCATTATCAAAGTATACTTTAGAATAAATAGTACATGCTAGTCTTTGATATTATTTTTGAAACCCAAATAAATGAGATAGTTATGTATAAATTGCTTCAAAAATCCATATTTTTGGACTAGAATAAAATGTATTTAGAAACAAAGTTTTGCAGGGCCATTTCTGCAGAAGATCAAACGTGTTATGCTTTGGTTCACAAGCCATTGTATAGTGCCATATACCTGTGAGCCAGCTCTAAACGGGGCATGTTACACACACTCACGCTGACATGACACCCACCATTAATGGAGGGTTGTCCTTGGTAGGGTAAATTTCTGGAAAAAAGTCTAGTGATGAAAAGACTTGTAGCAATAGAATGACTAAGCATTGAAAATGAAGAATAATATTTTAGAGAAATGTTGATGGAATGATACCAAAGTCTTGCGTAGGGTATGTTATGTTGCGCGTGAAATCCGGAGAGCATAGTTTCTTATTAGGAGAAAAGATATTTAGATTAGTTTAATTTGGTCGAAATATATTCAGATTGACTTAAATTCCAATTAAGGTAGTTAAAGATCATATAACTTTTTAGTCCTGTATATTTGAATCTTACTTTAACTCTATCATGTGAATGGATGCTATATAAACCCATCGCAACTTATTTTCATGGGCTGGGAAATTGTAAAATCTTTTTAAGAATTATACTGTTCTTTGTAAGCTTTCAAAAGCAATAAGATAACAGTAGACGTAAGCTCAAGTTCTAACTTGTAGAACCACTTTAAAAATTGTCTTGTGTTCTTATTTATGACTGTTTTTTTTTTTTTATTCATTGTTGATTTTCTTTAAATCAAACGCACATCCATTTCGGTTCCAACAAGGTCAATTGAAATTTTCTGGTTGATACAGATTTATGTATCAACAGGTTAGAAGACGAGTATCTTGGTCGTTTACATAGCACAAGAACACCTTCACCACTTAAATGAGTCTTTTCAAGATAAAATTGTACGGGTCTTAATATCTCTGGAAACCCACCTAGTATGTGTCTGGATCTAGTTTGTAGTGAATATGTTAAGAAATTAACAAGACTCCTACTCTTAAATCCTATATAATATATAAGTTGTTATTATATGTTCTTATGTGATTGATTAATTTGAAATACATCCATTTATATATACCTCTACAAAAAAGATTTTTTTAATACTTTAGGGATTTTCAATAATTTGATGGGTATAAAATACTTGTGATAATCGTATATGGGCATATCATAATAACATGACATAATAAGGTGTTAGTAAAAAAAAAAAAAAAAAAATTAATACAAATTACTCGGATTCATTAATTATTGGGCCTGACTAGGCCCATCCAATTCATGTTATTCTGGGCTTGAAGCCCATATGAGCCCGATGAATCAGATGGACATATATTCTAACCCACAGAAACTCATCTACAATTGGAGCTTAATAATGACGCCAACGCATAAAAGCGACGTCACTCTATGACATTGTTTTTCTCTGACACTGAACTTTCTTACAAGTTACAAGTCACTGTCGAGTTTCATAAGCTAGAGCTAGAATAGCTCAAATCGTCCACCGTCTCGCTTCACGGCGAACGTTCTCTTTCGCTTCCACAACCGCCGAAAACCGGTGAGGAGTTCGGGCCTTGAGGTGAAAGAATGGAAGGTGTGGGGTCAAGATTGGGCCGGGCCTCGGCCCGGTACGGCCCGACGCAAGCGGTGTTCAACGGGCCGGTGAGGAGGTGGAAGAAGAAGTGGGTACACGTGTCATCATCACCATCGTCGTCGTCGTCAGTGAGTCAGTCCAACGGCCACAGTAAGAACAGCACCAACAACGGTTCTCCTCTCCTGCTCTGTAAGTGGACGCCACTCTCCTCGAACCCCTCGGATAAGGGCGGAGCTCCGCCGGAAGAACCGCCGAAGCGACGGTTTCGGTACACTCCTGTAAGTGCATGCTTGTTTGTATTTGTTATGTATATGTACATATATAGTGTTTCTACAGCCATTTTAATCTGTTTTTTTTATGGGCTTTACAGGTTTAAGTAGGGTTTTGATTATTTTTGGGTTCTTCAAGTAAAGTTAATATTTTTTATTATTATTTTACTAATTTTAGGGCAAAATTTATTCCCCGTGTAAACTGATGAATATCACTTAATTTTTATGGTGTGATAATGGCATTTTTTAAGACTGTAAGTTGAAAGTATTCGTACAAGTTCTTTCTGGATTTGTGATATGCATTTCTGTTTAAAATATTTATTAATGAGTAGAATAATTTGATTAACTTGACTTTGAAGTTCCTTGCAAAAGTTAGAAGTTTTGGAGATTGTGATGATATCATAACTTCAGGATTTGTCATCTGGGAGGTTCTAAGTTTACTATTGTAGTGAGCGGTCCGGTTTGGTTAGGTTCAGGGAGAATTAATATCTGAAAGAATTAATAAGTTAAGTTGTTATGTATTGATGGTTGAAATTCTCTTCTTGAGTATTGTCTTTGTGCAGATTGCCGTTCTGGAGGAACGGAAGAAGGTGGTTGAAGAAAAGGATGAGGATGAAATGAAAGAAAGTGAGACAAATGTATTTACTCACTGGTCATCTTCGAAGAGCAATGAACTAACTGTTGATGAAGCTTTGAAGAAAGAAACTCAGGTAACTACCTCAAACTCCCCTTTAAGTGAACGGTCTTTTCTATGTTCATATGATTCAGTTTGTCAGTGATAAATTGTTGGTTCTGCGGCGTGAATCGCTATCTACCTCATTGTATCACTTGTTTGTGGATTTACCTCTTGATTAGCTTGGATGAAAATTTTGACGCTATGATGTTGTGGAATGTGCATAGCTTCAATTTTTTAAACATTTTTCTCTCTGAGGTTAAAACACTAATCCCCTTCTTGTGCAGGATTCCAACACAAGTCATTTGGATCTGGATTTGTGCTTGAAAGGTCATGGCGACGACCATGATTCTGCCAGCCAGGGCAAAGAAGTTCTGTTAATGAAACAAGCTTTTAGCGACCTATTTTAGTGCCAACAATATAACAGTGATGAAGTGATGCTTCATTTGTAATTAAGTAGCTTTTATCTGTCGTGATACATAATCTAGGTTAGCTAGTAGCAGTCTTAAATAAATGAAAACCATTTGATCTCGCTCCTATTTTACTGCCTGTATATATTATTACTTCACCTATGTAGCTTATATGACACCCCTGTTGTGCATGCTGATAGGATTCTTGATCTCCTTTTCTCTACTATCTGTTGTTGATTATGTTTTCAGAGTCCACTTTAGCAACTGTTGCAGTTAAATTTTACAAGTGAGGACTCATAATTTGATATTGCAGCCAAGAAAGCAGGGCATTCTTGGTTCACCAGATTACCTAAGGGTGAGTAGGTCTGGGTACGCGGCACAAATCCTGGGAATTGGAATCGGACCAACACAGTACCAGTTATTGGGATTTAGTAATCGGAGCCAGTACTCTGCAGTTCCTTAATCATAGGAACCGGAATTGGAATCGTCGGTTTCATTTTTGGTTTAGTTTACTTTGTATTTTTCACAAAATTACGAAAAGAAGGGGGGGAAAAAAAAACCCCAAAGGAAAAAAAAAAAAATAGCAACTCCAAATCGCTTGATCAACTTTCAAAACCCAAAAATCAAACCAAGTGGGCGAGATTCGAAGAAGAGAAAGAAAGTGAGAAAGTTTGAGGGTTGAGATCATATGATGCATGACACGGTAGCCATCAGAGCCAGAGGAAGCAACAGTAGTTGTAGTAAGTAGTAACAGTAGGTGATGAATCGATGAGTATTGCAAAAACAGAAGCAGAACTTGTGCCGTCTCAACCGAGCAAGGAGCAATGCAGTTGTATTGGAGAAGTGGTAGGTGATAGGGAGATGGTCGAGATGAAATAGACGTAGGAGGAGGAGGCGATGGAGTGAATGGAATGGCAACCGAAAGTTTGCCCCAATTCTTAAAACCTAATTTCTTATATGAAACGTAAAACTACAAAAAAGCCCCAATTTTTGCTAAAATTCTATCAAGTCCCAATTCTTAAAATGGTTCCCACCCGAGTACTCGACTCTAGTTCCTTGAACTAGTAGAACTAGTGCAGAAACTGCATAATGTTGGTTCCACATGGTTGGAAACCGAAACGGACCCTATGAGGGTCGATTTCAGTTAGGAACCGAAACCAAAACTCTAGGTACCCGTCGATTTCAGTTCTACCTAAAAATTTGGTACACCCTTAAGATTACCCATATCCTGATGGATTCATCAAGGGTAAATTGCCATACAAACTCAAAACTATATTGTAAGCTTAAAAGAATAGTTAATAATGCACAAAATGCAATCTTGCATCATTAAAATTTGTCAGCAACAAAAAATTTGTTCTTCAGCTTTCTCATAAGGGCAAAGGCAAAAATTTTTAGCTGATATGTTGTGTTACTACTCCAAGCCATATCTTCTTCAAGCGGTGAAGCCTTTGTCTTCAAGCCTATTTTAATTTTTAGCTAATCCTTCTCTGATAACAATTCAATTCCTTCTTGGAGGATCTCCTGCTGTAACCGTCCTTGTATTGTAATTTGAGATAAAAAGACTTTTTTACTGAAGGCACCTACTATTGCATTAGCTTTCCCTGAATGGTATCTAATATCGCAGTCTTAGTTTGTCACCAATTATAACAATCTCCTTTGTCTCATATTCAACTCTTTCTAGATGAAGACATACTTTAAACTCTTATGGTCAATGTATATGTTGCATTTCATTCCATACAGGTAGTGTCACCATATTTTCAGAGCAAAAACCACTGCTACCAATTCCAAGTCATAGGAAACCCAATTAGTACCATTCCACCCAATTGGAAACCGAAGCCGACCCTCTGAGGGTCGATTCCGGGTAGGAACCGAAACCAAAACCCTAGTACCTGTCGGTTCTGATTCTACCCAAAAATCTTACACACCCCTAAGATTACCCATATCCTGATGGATTCATCAAGGTTAAATTCCCATACAAGCTCAAAACTATATTATAAGCTTAAAAGTAGTTAATAATGCACAAAATGCAATCTTGCATCATTAAAATTTATGTATCAGCAACAAAAAATTGAAAAGGGAGCACAAAAATTTTGTTCTTCAGCTTTCTCATAAGGACAAAGGCAAAATTTTAGATGATATGTTGTGTGACTACTCCAAGCAATATCTTCTTCAAGCGGCGGAGCCTTCGTCTTCAAGCCTCTTTCTTCTCAGCAGCATTATCTTCCACAGCTTGAGTAACACCAACTTCAGCTGGCCTAATAACTCGTTCGTAGAGAGTGTATCCTAACTGCAATGTGGGAAAAGAACATCATTTTAGGCTTTCATTCGATCATATAGATTGATCCAAACTTGCATTCAACCAAATAAAACTTATTCAAGTTTCTTCAATCAAATAAGTTAATATATTTTAGTTGATTTAAAAGATCTTTTTTTTTTCTCCTCAAATGACAAACAAGAAGCCCATAATGCATTGAACATTTACATTGTTGATTGAAGAACAATTGATCAATTTGAATAAATACCTTTAGAACGTGAGCAACTGTCCCGGGTGGCTTAGAATTATCTGGTACTTGGAACACCGCATTATGCCGGTGTGGATCAAATGGCTCGTTCGTAGGATCAAATTTCTCCAATCCAAACTTTTTTAATACCTGAAGAGATGTCTGAAAACCTCAGTAAAAAGAAAATTGACTTCTAACTAGCTCTTTCTATTATATATATATATATATATATATAAATTATAGGAACAAGAAAATCTTACCTCTCCCAACTGTTTCTCAGTCATTTCAACACCTTCAAGAAGCGATTTTAGAAGTTGTGCTGACCCAGTAGCATCATTACGGGCATCAATCTTTGAGAAACTTTCTTTGGCAACTGAAGAAGCTCTTCCCAAATTGTCTGCAACATCCAGTAGACTCTTTGCAAAATTCTGCAGCATATTTTCAAATAAAAATCAATTAAGACCTCCAAATACAGAAAGAAAAATCGTATACAGTCTAGCATTAAAGCAGGCAATATTACAACGAAAAAACCTGAATGGCAAATTTTTTCGAATTCTCTGCTTCACGTCTTGTTCTCTCCTTGATATTCTCCATTTCAGCATAAGTACGAAGAACTTTATCTTTCATATCCTCCGTCTCTTTGTGCTTTGCCTTCAGAAGTTCCTCTCTCTCCTTCAAAAGTTCGACCAGATCCTCCCTCGATAGATCACTCTTACTCTCACTCTCCGAATCTGAATCAGAAAATGCAGTTCGTTTAGTACCTCTTCTCCTTCTTTTGATAGATTGAGACATGGTAGATAGGGGTTCAGAATCAAAACCTGATTCTTTTGTTTGATCATTAACTTCTGTTCTTCCTGTATCCTCCACATTATCAGAAGCTTTAGCATCTCCGCACTCGACACCATTATTTTCTGCAGCACTCCCTTGTTCCTTTTCTTTATGTTCAGGCGATGCAGATGAGAACCCAAAACGATGAAACGGGGATGAACTGAGTGCTGAGTGATGAAAAAGAGACACCTGACTTGCAACAAACTGGAAAAAAAAAAAATGCATGAATGACAAGCCAAATTTCAACTTAAAGTTAATCCAATAAATCTACGAACGGGAATAATCAAGCCTTAACAAAGCAATAAAAAATGAAAATGATTAACATGTAAGGAAGAGAAGGGGCACTTTTTTAACCAAAACAAAACTGAAAACACAAGTCTGAAAATCGGTCAAGTTTTGTGAAAGGGAAGTCAGTTCAATGAATGATCTAATCTAATAGTTCATTATATTGATTGTACCAACGGCCAACTGCTTAATAGCACGAAACACCAACAAAGACTCAAACTTCGTAGAATTCAGGCACTTTTTAAGCTTTCAAATCCATACTGAAACACCCAAAGAGGAGACAGAATGTCTTCTCTAAAACTACCGAAGCCCTGAAACCTGATTCAAATCAACCCAAAAATTGTGTTGTGGGGGGACCCAATCACAATAGTAAAAATAGAGAATTAACAAATATAAAACAATATTGTTTAAAGCTATTTCAATACATCAATAAAGACATGCCACTGAAACATTCCAAACCAAAACAACAGCAATACCAACAAAAAAAAAAAAAAAAAAAAAAAAAAATTCCAAACAAATTGATAGATTTCAAGTGTTCGTAATTTTTTAAAATCTAAACTTTAATCTCCAGCACACATAATAAAATCAATTTTTCAAAAACACACGAGGAAATATGATTCATGAGCAAATAATCACAAATTCATTAAAAAAATAAGGCAAATTTACAGAAAATTCTTAAACCCTAATTAAAACCCTTGTGAGAATTGAACACAAAAATTAAAATTTCACTTCATTACCTCGTTAGGAGTCTCATGAACAAGAGAGTTTAACTGATTGGAGATCATTGGTAACTGTTGCTCCTTCGCAGAAGACACAAGAAGCAAGGACCGTCGGCCCACACTCCTAGAGACGCGTGACAAAACCCTAGATGCCAACATCGCAGAAGATGAAGAAGAAGAGAATGCCTTGAAGGGGCAAAATAGGAATATAAATATAGTTAGGGTTTTAGAGAGAAAGATTGGATATTTGAGGAGTCCAGCGAACGAGAGGAAATAAGAGAGGGAAATAGAAGGCTTGGGGTTTTAGGGGTATTATTGATAGACAAAACTAGCCTTGGAGAATTGGTGTTAAGGCCTTCATTCTGGCGGTGATTAGGTGGAGAATTTGGTGATTTATGAAGGGCGTTAAGGTCAATGAGTTTGTTGAAGTTCGATTTTGTTTGGAAGAATCTAGAGGCTTTTTTTGGGTTTTAGAAGAAGACTTGGATTGCAAGTTGCATCTTCGGGGCACTTGGACGACACGTCTATTCCCTTGAGAAACGCAAGCTGTTGGAGCAAACATTAAGGGTGGGTTTGGTTTTTTATTTTGGATAAGATTTTAGAGATAATGTTAAATAATTGAATAGCAGAGTATTATAAGGTAATATTTAAAATTTTATAAAAAACCCTTACGGCCATATGTGGCCGTCGACGGTCGAAAAATGCCAAAGAAGTCCATCTTTGGCCGTCAACGACGGCTAAAGATATGACCGTCGTTTTTTGTCAACGATGGCTATTTCTTTGGCTGTCGCTGATGACTAGATCGGTGAACTACAGGTCAGTTCTGGTCGTGGTGTAGGCTGTTGTACAAATTCCGGTTACCACCGACTGTAGTTGCCGAAATCTGACAAGTATGAGTTGATACTTGATAGGGGTGTTTTTATTAATTTTTAAACCTTTTTTGGGGTATTTAATGAAATTAATAAACTTAAGGAGTCTAAAAATAATTAAAAAATATAGTAATATTTTTGGAATAATGTGCCAAACAATATTTGGAGAATAGGATTGAGAATATGGGTAGAAATAGAAAGCTAAACGTACCCTAAATGTCGTCGTTCAGGCCCTATTTGGGGATAGAGCGATTCCGGGTATCTTGTATTTTGTTAAATAATCAAAATCAGTATCAACCATTTCTTAAGATTCGGAACCGAAACCAAAATCAATCGATTTGGCTCCGGTTCCTAAAACCCTAGAACCAAAACTTGAAACATAAGTTCCGATTCTGAGTACTCGATTAATTTTAATTATCCCCTATTTTTAAAAAAATAACAAATACACTCTTAATAATTTACAAAAATTACAATTCAACCCCAATTTCTACCTAGGTACCCAAATCTCGGTTCCGATTCTAATTCTCGATTCCAGTACTGTAGGAACTGAAACCAGACCTAGAAATTCCTGATTCCAGTTTTTCATAATCGAAACCAAATCCTAATAGGACCAATTCCAGTTCCTACCCGGAACTGACGGGTGGGTACCTACCAATTCCAGTTCTACACTTTACCCATGCTCACCCCTAGTCACTAACACCTGCTTTCTACATCATGAATCTTCCAATATAACATGTTCGTTAATGAATGCTCCATGACACCAAACTGTATCGGCACCGGATCCATTTGTTAATATACATTCAACCATATGGCTTCTATAATAACGTTCCGACACAAATTGAATGCAAATTTTACATAAAGCTTGAAAGTACATAAGATTTATACTAGTGAAGGTTGATGGTTCAACTGCAGGAGCAGGAGCTATACAATCCAAGCGGACACTACTCAACACTCGGTTCAGAAACCCATCAGCTAGGAATTACTGTAAAAGTGCCGGTAGCAAATGTAACTTAGATGCCGAAACGATTTAGGTTCAAGAAATCTTCATAGTCGTTCTTTCGCCACAGCTGCTTCTGTCTCAGAGAGGTAGTCGTGCCTGAAAATTTACAAGAAGGTGATCAATGCATATTATATATCATTGGCATAGAGCTAAAGACGAAGCATTCATTCACATCATACGCAAATTCCGCCTGAAAATTGGAGAAGGGACATATGAATGCATAAATATAAATGAGAAGAGCAAGTCACCATTGAAAAAAAAACAAGAATGTCAAAGTACAAGAATAGTTCAGGGATGTGGCTAAGAATGAGACATGGCTTTATGATGATTTATAGTCCGGGGCCTCCAGGCTCAGGATTCACTCTAAAGAGAAATTGGAACGAGAGTACACGATCATGGTAAGTCGTGATCTCTGCCTCCTTTTGGTTGTTAAGAAAACTAAAGAGAACAGAACAAATATAATTTGAATGTGATTCTATCTCAGTTTTTTAAAACACAAGAACGTATACTTCAGCTAGGACACATGATTAAATTAGTTTCAGGAAGTAGAGGTCCTTGAGGATTTTTATCTCATGTTTCTTAGATATGTAATAATCCAAAAAAGATTCAATTCTTGTAATACAATAACATGTACAAGTTAACAGCAGGGAAAGTTATTTCTAAGTGAAATCGGATTCAATCAGATACTATTCATACAGAANAATAAATATAATTTGAATGTGATTCTATCTCAGTTTTAATAAAACACAAGAACGTATACTTCAGCTAGGACACATGATTACATTAGTTTCAGGAAGTAGAGGTCCTTGAGGATTTTTATCTAATGTTTCTTAGATATGTAAGAATCCAAAAAAGATTCAATTCTTGTAATACAATAACATGTACAAGTTAACAGCAGGGAAAGTTATTTCTAAGTGAAATCGGATTCAATCAGATACTATTCATACAGAAGGAATAACTTGAGAAATATAGCCAATATCATATATGATGTACAAGTATCAAATCTCCAACATACTTAATTTTGCGTGATAGTTGATATAATCCAGTCCCTGCCATCGCAACGTTGACACTGAAAAGATTCCAGTTTTTCTGCAATCTCATAATGTGGTCAAGAATTAGAATCAGCTGCAAGCCATATCTCAATAAAATACCATGATAATTGATAAGCAATTACGAAGGTGAAATTCTGAAGCAAGGTTGTCATAATGCAATCTCCCTCTTAACTCTAAACTCTTGGATATCAATGCCCATTAGAGTATAATTTCATCTCCAGGACGGCCTTAATATTGCCCTCTCACTAGAGTGTCTTCGGAATTCTTAAGCCTGTGACTTCTTTGTATATACAAGAAAAGCTTCATTCTAAACTTCCCCAGAAGGATCATCATACAATGATCACTCTGGAAACTAAGTTCAACAATTCATGTAAAAATCAACCTAGTCCTGAATAAGCATCAAACATTATCAGCTAATCAAGCGGCTATGAACCACTAACACCACAGAAAAAAAGAATCAGGATGGAGAAGACACTAACACCCCATCATGACGCAGAAAAACAGTGTGCAAGAAAGTTAAAACTCTTCCAATTTAGACCGCTAGAAATTAAACATACTGGAGTAATCACCAAGCTGTAGCGGGTCCAAATAAGTCCAGTGAATGTGACAGCTGCATCATCAAAACATTAGAAATGAGCATTTTCTAATCAATAATACTATGCTTACAAAGAAATCTTACAAAGATTTCCATACAAAGTGAGGTGGCAAAAAATGAATGGAAGAGTGAAACAAAAAGTCAAACTCATTAAATTCACTCTTCCATTCATTTTTTACCACATCACTTTGTATGGAGATCTTTGTAAAATTTCTTTGTAAATGTAGTATTACTCTTTTCTAATACAGACAGCTTGAGTTCTATAGAGGGCAAACCTAGTTGCTGAGGGTAAGAGAGCTTTTCAGGTGGCTTCGAGAAGTCAGCGATATTTGCTATGCTGATGCCCCATTTGAAAGTTGGGGCCCAAAAGTGAACTGCAATTGTTATGAAATACACTTAGACAAACACAAATTAAATAATCAATCAAATTTCACAAACTTTACTGCAAGTTAATTAGAAGTCACAAGTTTTAGAGTTGATGAATGGTGATCATCCTAAATGCATAAGGATTATTGACCTTAATTGAGTATGAACAAAAACACAATCAAAATAATGATCTGATCTGCCACTCAATTACCAATCACTTTCAGTGAACCTTTTAGCTTGTTTACACTCAGCAATCAGCTCTACATCAGAAAATCAAACACCCTTTACTTAAATTGCCATCTAGAATTCATTACACCGTAAAAAAACCCTTCTCGCCTCAATAAGCACGATCATCATCAAAAACCACACAAACCCTGAAACCCATATGCAAAAACACAATCTTCTTTGATTTTATATCAAAAGTAACTCAATATGGAACAATTAAGAATTGAAAATAGTAAAATGAAGCTCTATTTGTCACCAATTCTATTCATTTTGAAACAAGGCAGAAGCTAATTTAAAACAAAACAAAAACAAAAGAGTCTGCTAATAAACACAAGAAATAACAAAGAGATAGATGAAAAGAAGAAGACTAACTAGTTTTAGGCCCAGCTGGGTGGTTCCAAAAAGCTTGGAGCTTGTTCGCTACCATGAGATCGATGTCCTTCTTGCTGTTTCAGATAGTGCATGTGTGTATACGAGTATGATTCTAGCACAATTTAGAGAAACATAACCGCAAATAAAAGAGTTACACGTGGACAATATTGCCAGTTTGGACCGTTCCTCATCTAAGACTAATAAAAATAATTAGCAAATATTAGTAGAATCCAAATCTTTATCCTTAGTTGATAGAGGATGTTGAATTGTAAATCATTTTTTTTTTTAATTTTATGTTAAAATAAAACTGATAATTTAAAAATCAAGTGTAAACTTTTGGATCGGTGAATTTTATCATCAACATGATTTCAATAATGTTATTGAATCAATTCATTTGTATATCTATTTTTATTCTTGATTTTTTTTTCGATGGGCATCTATTTTGCTTTTTTACATTGGAGATATCCAGACCAGCTATATATACTTCAACTAATCTTTTAGAACCTTAAAAATAGGGGTGTTCAAAAGAACCGGTTGGAACCAGAATCGACGGGTACCCTGGTTGGTTCCGGTTCCTACCTAGAACCAGTCGTCAATGGGTAGGTTCCAGTTCCAAATTTTTAGAACCGTTACTGTGCAGTTCTGGTTCCGGTTCCTATAGTAGGAACCAGAAACGGAACCAGGAACCAGAAACCGAGACTAATATAAAATAAAATTAAGATTAGGAGAGTTTAATAAACTTTTATAGAAAAAGTAATGTGAATACATTATATTTATATTTCATAATATTTAAAGTAAGTTGGTTTGACTTTTGAGAATCTACTTTACAAAGTAATGGAGTTTGTATTTTGAATTTATAATTTGTAATTTATTTTGTTAACAAGTGCTAGGTGGGGGGGTATTTGAGTTTTTAAAGGTTTTTTGCCATTTTAAAAAACTTTTGGGGGGTAATGAATTTTATCATCAACATGATTTCAATAATGTTATTGAATCAATTCATTTGTATATCTATTTTTATTCTTGATTTTTTTTTTTTTTTTAATGGGCATCTATTTTGCTTTTTTTATCATCGGATATATCCAGACCAACTTACATATACTTCAACTAATCTTTTAGAACCCTAAAACTATCGACCGAATAAAAGCTTCAATGACCACTCCTATTAACAACCGAAGAAGGACTTAAGCTCATAATCTTTTAAACAATACACCCAATAATCTTTATTAAATCACTTGACCACCCGAAGATAGTTAGGACATCTATTTTTTTATCTTAGTTCAACCAAATTTTGACCCTTATATTTGGGAATCTTTTACATATCGTCAGCGTCAATTTTAATTTTCCAAGAAAAATTAAAGCATGGTCAAATACCAATTTCTTGTTGATTGTACAAAACTTACACTTTGCACCGAAACATTAAAGCGCAGGACGCGCCTACATTGCATGTGGGTAGAATCAGGATATACATTCGCAGCCCACGAGCAAATGAACTGGTGTGTCACATTTTAGTCATGAATACACATCATATTCCACGCGAACCTTCTGCGCGTGAATTCAGTGCTAAAGAAAAATTAAAGTGCAGCTCTTTTGCCTGCTGTTATAACTGCCTGAATTCACCCTCAAGCTCAGGCCAATACCAACTTTTGATCCTGGAAAGTTTTAGCTGTCAAACTCAAACCCAGAAAACACATATAATATATATAAGACATGTCGATAATTATGTTTACATCAAGTGTTAACTTACTATGCTCTTACATGACACGAATATAACACGAACATAACTAGATATTATTGTTTATTATTTGATAACAATGTCGATGCTGTCATAGGAAATTAATAAGGTATTCAGGTAGGTGAATTTAGTCTAACAAAAAATAAAACAGGCAGGAAAATGCAAACACAAGAGGAAATGCTTCAAGTAATAACACTACCAAAATATAATGTAAAGTAGTTAATGAGTTACCATTTAAAGCATCTGGAAGATTGTTATATATAAAATTCAATACACTATTTAAGAAAAAGACCTACTAGAAGCAGAAAGCAAGTAGAAAAGTCTCAACAACCTTCATCCACCATATTTTTCATATTCTTTTTCCTTTTCATGCCTGCATAGAAGAGAATTCAAACCAACTTCACCAACCACCTGCAACATTGTTATATATAAGCTGGTCAGTAAAAGAAAATAATAAAAATGGCTAGTGGGGTTACCTTTTGGTTTTTCTTTGCTCATCTCCTGCTGCAAATATTTAAACTGAATGCAAAAGTTCCAGCAATCATTGTGTTTGGAGATTCTTCTGTTGATTCGGGGAATAACAATGAGATTTCTACTGTTTTAAAGAGTAATTTTGAGCCATATGGCCGTGATTTCATTGGTAAGCAACCCACCGGTCGGTTTTCCAATGGTCGGATCCCAACAGACTTCATTTCAGAAGCTTTCATGATCAAGCCAATAATTCCTGCATACCTGGACCCAACATATAACATATCAGAGTTTGCAACTGGAGTTTGCTTTGCTTCTGCTGGAACTGGTTATGACAATGCTACCTCTGATGTGCTAGTAAGTCCAGTAATGCCTTAAAGATTCTATAACACTTTCAGACAAAATTCGGCCAGTCAGTTGTAAATTTGTTCTGCATCAGTTTTCTGAATATTTAGTCACATCCTTATGCATCCTTTTTTGCATTGGGGGAAAAAATGATAACTCTCCAAAATGCATTTTATTGAACAGTTAAGCTAATATTACTCAGACTAACTGCAATGCAGGTAGGTCACCTATGTTTTCTAACAAGCTGATTTTCTCTATGCCTTGTGGACTTGCAGTCTGTAATACCTCTTTGGCAGGAAATGGATTACTACAAAGAATACCAGGAGAAGTTAAGAGGTTATCTAGGCAAGGAGAAAGCTAATGGGATTCTAGGGGAAGCATTGTACCTTATTAGCATAGGAACAAATGATTTCTTGGAAAACTACTATATCTTTCCCAGCAGATCAAAACAGTACTCTGTTGAGGAGTACAGGGATTTCCTTTTAGGAATTGCTAAAGATTTCATCTCAGAGCTTTACCAGCTGGGAGGTCGTAAAATAGCTATCAGTGGACTTCCTCCGATGGGGTGTTTACCACTGGAAAGAACCACGAAAATCTTCTCAGGGACTGACTGCGTGGAGAAGTACAACAGTGTGGCTCTGGATTTCAATGGGAAGTTGCAGGAAATGATCAAGAGGTTGAACAAGGAGCTCCCTGGCATCCGCCTAGTGCTTGCAAACCCCTACGATATTCTTTTAGACATCATTCACAATCCACTGAAATATGGTAAGTTTTCTACAGTACTTTCACCATAAGCAAGGTTAGTTTTACATAAAGTAAATGAACCTCAAAGTTCTCTAATAATTTTCTAATCACAGGATTTGTAGATGCAGCAAAAGCATGCTGTGGTACTGGAATGTTTGAGATGAGTTACTTGTGTAATAAAAGGATTCCATTTACATGTCCGGATGCAAGTAAATATGTATTTTGGGATGCCTTTCATCTAACAGAGAAGACAAACTGGATTATAGCTGATCATTTGGTCAAAACTAGCCTAGCTGAGTTCTTGTGAACACTACAAGTACAATGTAGCATGTAACTTATTACAGTAGTAGTGTTAATATCCATGGTATCATTCACATTGTCATTTATCTTTGTTATTATTAAATAATCCTCTACAAAAGAAGTACCAAACAAATTCTTCCAAAAGAGAATTATACTTGCTTCAAATAACGAACTCAAAATAATTCTTGAAACATGTTCTCTCCGAATCTACATGATAGATGGCAACACATTTGATTAAATATCAGAGAGGTACAAAAATATAACTCCCAGAACCACAAGTTCAGCTGGGTATCTCTCAAACAAGTAAATAAAAATTCGTTCTGGTATCCCCATGAAAGGCAGACAATACAGGCATCTTCTTTATGAACTGCATCAATCATGATGGTCACATAATTCAAAAAAAAAAAAATATTATCAACTAAACTTATCACTGAGAAACGAAACATTATAATGCTCATCAAAACAGGTTCAACAAGAAAAAATCACCCTAAAAATAACAAGCTCATCTGTATAGATGCTCACATACGGAATAATTACAAAATGATTCAAATGGAAATTTAGAGGTGAACATGAAGAAGAGAATGATTTTTGGGGGAACATAGACGCTTATCCAAAATCATCTATTTCGGCTCTTTCGGAAATGCAGTTTGATCAGGGCAGGAAGTTCATCTGTTCAACTGCGGTTTGCCCATCAAAATACTCTTCAACTTTTATCACAATTAACCACGTTCTTATTATTTGGATCCTGACAATAACAAAAAGCATCATAAAAGTTAGTTAACTACGTTCAACTAACATTTTTGAAAGATACTCTATATAATTGGACATTAGCCCATTGACATGAGGTGATCTAATGGTAAATCCACTGCTCCTCATACGAAAAAAAATGAAGTATCATCCATTATGTAATACACATGACTGCTATAGATTTAATATTACATTTTGAAATTACAAAAAGACAAAATTAAAAAAAAAAAAAAAAAAATGAACTGAAATTCTTAGGTGGGGACTTGAATTAGTAAGAGCTCGAATTTGTTGCTGAGAAAATTAATTTCGAAAATCTTATTAAATCTGACTGAGAAAGACAGTATTCCCATTGATAAGGACTAAATGAATAAATACTAAAAATTCTAGACAACATACAATGTAATAAGAAAATACAGAAAGTTAAAAAGAAAGTTTGTTAACCTGAAGATGTTGGTCTTGATGTAAGACCAGACGCGCATGAAACAGCCCAAACGAGAAATCTGAGACTGACCCACAAACTCTCTAAGCGTGGAAGGAAGATTTACAAGGTCAATCAAGTTGGCAAGCTTCTTTGGATTATCAGTGATCGTCTTCTTCACCCCTGTGGCAACATTATCACAATCTCCCTTTCTACAACTCAACCATTAAAAAAAACACATCAACAAAGTCTATGGTAAACTATTCTTCCACTTAAATTGCTATGAGCATTAACTGCAGAGGGTTTACTATGTTACTGGCCCCCTAATGTTCCCATCTTGCCGTAACAATTTTAATCATATGACAAAATTCCATTTTCAGTCTAGTTCAGGAACAGTGCTTTTTCATATTGTAATTGTCACAAATTTTATATTAGAGTTACTAAAATCACAAAATGTTAAAATATCAATTCGGCAACTTTACTGGGCAGAGTGAGCCAACTGAATTGATTGTAAGGGAAATTTAATCGAACACTGGGATGCTATGCAAATTATGCTGAAGACATAAGGTATTGATGTTTATGAAAAAGAGTAAAAAAACAAAAGAAAAAATTAGAAAGGGTTTCATGGATTCAACTACAAAGAGCAAATAGAGTTGAGAGTTGAACTGAATTTATACCTGGAAAGAGATGGGCGGCAGGAGCAGTGTAGAGAAAATTTCCGAGTTTTGACAAGGAGCAATCGACGCTTGTGTTTTAAAAAGGAGATGAATATATTATGGGCGCAAGGGCCCAAACGATAAAGCCAATTATATTAGACTCGCGCAATTATACACAATCATCCAATATAAAATACGTGTATCATAAAATATTATTATAAGAAAATAAATAAAGATGAGTTGACAAACACTTACAAATTTTCTTACAAATGCTAGTACGACAGTTATAATGATCAATTTATTTTAGTCAAGTGGGATTTGTAGATACAAAATTGCACCAATCGCGTGATCCGATCGACCTTGTCAGGATCGGAACCGATGTGTGCTAATAATGAAAATCAGCAATGAATATGAATGAAAGAATTAAAACAAAGAGTTTTTAAAGTGGTTTTACGAGGTTAACAGCCTGCGTTCACTGTGTTTGTGAGAGATAATCAAGAGAAAGGGTTTGCGAGTGTAATATTACTGCATAAACATATACATTATATGTTAAATCCCAAAAATATAATACATTACATAAAGTTAATGCTTAAACGACGTTAAAAAGCAGCACTGATGTATAGTAGTATGACATGAATTTCCTCCTTTAATAATTAAAAAGGATACATTATCCTATACCGTACCAATTATGTTTCCTGTAACATTGCACATTTATATTTGAAAATTTTCTGAATGTTTGCACCAAAAAGTATTATAATACGATATCACAATCTTGGCTAATAACCCTAAGGATTTCTGAATTTCTTCAATAGATGAGGGATGTCATAGCTAAGCATATCATCGACAGCTCGTATCATTCTCGGCTTCAGCTTCTTGAATTTGTCGAACCTGTAACCACTCAAAATCTCTTGAAATGTTCGACATTTGGAAAATCCCGGGAGGTAGATGGAACTCTTTTGGACCTGCACGAACAAAAATGGTATGAATATAACGATATCAGAGTGTCATCGAAAAGTCAAGGATTGGGTAGAGGGTTTGCCTAGAAAGAGAGAAAGTTCAAACCTTTCCAAATTCACTTCCAAATTATCAATGAGTTCCGTGAGTCTTGGCTTTGCCCACATACAGGCATCTCCTTTCTAAGATGACTATGATATAAGCATGTATCTTGGCAGCTCTGCTCGTTTCACGAATTCATGACCTTGAGGAAAAATGCAGTCAGAATCCCCTTCAAGAAGCATCTTTGAGGAAATATTTTGAAATAAAGATTATATGAAAATGGAGTGGATGGGAACGACTGCTTTCTGTACACCTTTACTAATATGCAGAAAGAATGAAACTAACTCACTCGCGATCACAAGCCTTTTTCGGAATTCTTTCAGATCAGCTAGAAGGTCTTCCTGTTCTTTTTAAAAAGTCTTTCCCAATTGGACCAGTTGCAGCTTCAGTTACAAGTTCTCATTGAATGAGCTGCAAAAAGCAGCGGGAGATTAACTTTGCATATTCAGATAATTTGAACTTAAATCATCAGACAGAAATGTATCAACATTTATACACATAAAAAGATAAAGAATCTACCCAATATAGACGCGGACAACTTCAGGAGTTTAAGTACTTTTCCTAGTGACCACATCAAAGCTCCATAAACCCTCATCAGCTGAAAAAAGAGACCAGTAAGCAGGTTCTATTGATATGAAAAAAGACATGCATCTCCAAATTTACATGTCAGAACCAGAAAAACAAATTTACTTGTTGAGTATCAATTGGTCTGCCTTGTTCAAAACCACACGGATTTTGTCATCATGACCACGTAATGCTGAAATCACACGCTTAAATTCATCACTAACATCAAGTTTGTGTGGATCAAACAGAAGTAGAATGAGGTCACACTTCGCAGCAAACCACGATGTACACCAGTAAAATCATAGGATCGCTGTGTTCGTTGCTTCTCTCCTGACAAAACTCCAGGAGTATCTACCAACGTAATGTGGTCAAGAAGCTTCAAATACAAACAAAGAATGTTTTAGGTTGTGGCATTTGAGAGCACTAAAACTTTTAGGAGAACACAGTATGTGATTCAAAATTTTTGTTACACTACTCTACTCACAGGATTGGCATTTGAGAGCACTCGAACTTTGACAAAAATGCAGATCAAAAGTTGCAGACCACTGAATGGCATGTCAGCTCGGACAGCAACAGTGTTCCCTGGTATACATCGTTCATTAGCTCCAGACTGTAAAGTGCAATCAGCTTATAAATCTATGGGCATAGAAGACTACTGATGCGAGTCTGCTAAAAAGGCTATACTGGATACTATAGAAAAAGTACTTCAACAAATAAACTAAACAAGAAATTTTTTGAATATATTATACAAGATTATACTAAAGATTTCAAAATTCGAACTAGAAGTACCATAACAACAACAAATCTGTCAGTGTCGGTTCGGTCCAATGTGAGCTCCTGTAAGTATGAAGAAATGACTAAATAAACCAACAAGAAAAAACTTTATGCTCAAAGGGAAGTGAGAGAGAACAGGAGTGAAAAGGATAACTTGCCAGGATAGTCTCTTTTAAGCAAATGTTATGAATGTTGTTTTTCCAGTGGAGTACTGACCCAAAAAGACCATTGGTTTGGCATCAAAATCAATATCTGTCTGCATTACACAAGAAGATAACAAGGATTAATAAGTTCCCTGTGACTAACAGAAGTGACTAACTCTCTGTGATCACAATGTAGGACCAAGAGTACTAAAAAAAAAAAAAAAAGTTGTGCATATGCCATAAAATTACATCTGAATTAAGAGGAATCATGACACCCGAAATAGAAATATTTAGGCATAAATTATTCTTCACTGCCAATAATGGGGACACAAAATCATTAAAACGATAGGTAACTTCCAATGGCTTTAGCTTCTGAATATACAATCTCTTTAAGCCATCAACTATTGATGTACAGCGGACTGAGAATCTGTGAAAAAACCGAACGAGGCATAAGGTAGACATAAAAAAAATCATATTTACAAAAGAGGAAAATTAAAAGTTAAATTGTTGCCAGAGAAGCACTAGCTGCGAGCTAAAAAATCTTATTATCATCTCGAAACACATCAAGCATAAGAGTATGTGACATTTTGTTTCTCTTTAGATTATGAATGGTGAAACGTAAAATCGCATTAAAAAAATAAATAATAAGAAGGGGAGAGTTCTATAACAACATATACATATGGAGAAGGAGGAAAAATTTTAAAAGCAGTCATAGAAATATAAAATGCATTGAACTCTACAAACTCCTTAGATGGCATAACTTTAGCAGCATTGGTAACTAAAAAGATCTCCAAATACTTTCACACAGTAGAAATAACTGGAGCAAAGTGGGCTTTGTTTAACGCATCAAATTTAAATAAGAAAAATCATGAGCTCACATACATCCCCAGTTATAACTATGCTAAATTGTGATTGGTAAATTAAACCTTTTTTCAGTTTACTCACACATAATCGACAACTTCTATATGCTTATATCAGTATTAGTGTAGAGATGTCAAATGTGTCTCTTCTAGTATTGATAAAAACATTAATTTACGCTGAGTATATTTTGTGAGCTAAATGAATAAACGCTACACTTGATCACAACATATACTTCTAATAAGAAAACACACTAAGATAGAAGAGAGATTATGAACCTGAAGTTTGTCGGTCCTGATGTATGACCAGAAACGCCTGAAACCGCCCAAACGAGAAATCTGAGGCTGCCCCAAAAACTCTCTAAGTGTGGAAGGAAGGTTTACATGGTCAAACAAGTTGGCAAGCTTCTTTGGATTATCTGTGATCGTCTTCTTCACTCCCCGTGGCAACATTAACGCAATCTCCCTTTGTACAACTCAAAACCTCTTAAAAACACGTTAGAAAATTCTCTATGTTAAACTATTCTTCCTTCACTGAACTTGCTATGAACATCAACTGCAGAGGATTTACCATAGTACTGGCCCCTGCAACGACACTATCTTACCCTAACAATATTTAAGTTATATAAATAAATTTTATATATTATAGTTACCAAAACATTTAGCATCTGAATATCAATTCCGATAACGTTTCCGGGCAGTGTGAGCCAACTGAATTGATTTAAAGTGAAATTTAATCGAACACCTGGGATGCATATGCAAATTATGCTGAAGATTTTTGAGTATTAATTATCAATGAAAAAAAACAGTAAAACTAACATAAAAGTAAATACGGGTTTCAAACATTCAATTACAAAGAGGAAATAGAGCCTGATAGTTGACAGAGTTTAACTAGATTTGTACCTCGAATGAATGAGATGATCAAAAGCAAAGAACAAGAGAGAAATTCTTGAGCTTTGATCAGGAGCGAGGGAACGGCACGTTAAGGAATTTGTTGGGGCTTAAGCTTAATAAAACTACTCACTGTTTAAACGGAGATTAATATATAGAGGCCCACTAGGCCCAAAAGATATGATATGGGCTCATTTGTAAGGCCCAAATTTTACTTCTTTACAGTAGTTTCTTGTATCGTATTCAAAACTGTTTTCGAAAACATTTTGACTTATTACTACTAAGGACATAACAATTATATTTATATCAAACAGACCCCTAATTGACATTGTTATGTATGAGAGAGACTCGCATACATGCACGCTAATGTATCTCTGTCGTCCCTGTCTTATAGAGTTTTACCGTGTTTATGTATATAATACCTTTAAAATGAAATCCGTTAAGATTTTCATAATGTTGTATAAATTTTTTGTAATCATATACCTAATCGTCTACTCCCTATATAAAGAGTGTAACTCTTTAGTAATAAATCAATGAATTGAAAACTCAATTCTTCAAAAAAACAAAATCATCTTTGTGATATTTCTCATATTCTTATATAAAGAATTACTATTTTTATATCAAATCAAATCTATGATTTTTGTATAAAATTATGGTGTGGTTCTAAGAAATGGGTCGTTTGATTAATTATTTCTTATAAGAATGATATATTGCGATCCACGATAAATATTGCATTTGTATGTCGATTATTGATACTAAAAATCTACGATAAAATCATTTAAAAGGGTATTTTTTTTCCCCTTCAAAATTGAACTTACATAAAATAAAGTTACAAGAATTAATATTTCAATCTTTTAATATAATGTTTTTGCTCTAAACAAAAATCATATCTATATACAAGTGATTAATCATGCAATATAATTAAAAAAATATATACATAAATATNACCAAAAAAAAAAAGTTGTGCATATGCCATAAAATTACATCTGAATTAAGAGGAATCATGAACACCCTTGAAATAGAAATATTATAGGCATAAATTATTCTTCACTTGCCAATAATGGGGACACAAAATCATTAAAACGATAGGTAACTTCCAATGGCTTTAGCTTCTGAATATACAATCTCTTTAAGCCATCAACTATTGATGTACCAGAGGACTGAGATATCTGTGAAAAAACCAGAACAAGGGCATAAGGTAGACATAAAAAAAATCATATTTTACAAAAGAGGAAAATTAAAAGTTAAATTGTTGCCAGAGAAGCACTAGCTGCGAGCTATAAAAAATTCTTATTATCATCTCTGAAACACATCAATGCATAAGAGTATGTTGACATTTTGCTTTCTCTTTAGATTATGAATGGTGAAACGTAAAATCGCATTAGAAAAAATAAATAATAAAGAAGGGGAGAGTTCTATTACACAA